ATGGTAAGCAATAGCTATATATACACGTATATGCATTGCTAATCCTTCAATTTTGTCCAATTCTTTTAGATTGTATTCACCTATTGTAACGCATGATCATTTTTCTAGTCTTAACCTGAACTAATCTTAATCTTAATAACCAATTAAAAGATTCGTAATTTTTCCATCGTCACCTCGGCTAATTTTTCATCGGTCCAAAAAAAAATCCCTGTTGTTCCTTTCCATCCCGAGAATCGAGACAGGGAAAACTGAAGCATATACACACAAATATATCCAAAAATTCCCATGCAGCTAGATCGAAGGGAAGGGTGCTGTTGTCATCGCCAAACCGCCACCGCCGTCGCAGGGACGCCGTCGGCTCCCCTATCGCTGGATCTGGCGGAGGGGAGGGCACCGCCCCTGTCCGCCGCCTCCCCTCCCACCGGAAGTGAGGGCGTATGTGGAGGAGAGAAGAAGAAAAAGAGAACATAAAGGAGAGAAGGATGAACGGTGATTGAGAGAAAGACTGAGAGGAAGAGAGAGCTCGGGAATAAAAATGTGGAGTTAAGGATCGGTGGAAGAATCGAGGTGCGCGGCACTCTCTCCGCTCTCTCCGAGCGGTTAAAAAAAGGACAATGGTAAATTTACAATTTTTTTGAATCGTTACCGTAAAAATGGCAATAGAAACTTGCAAAAATACCACTAGAATTATCATTCGAGTGGCATCCTTGAAAAATTGAAAAAAACGGTGGCAAATTTACAAATGCCCTTTAAAAAAACCACTTATAACTTAGTACTTTATTTATAAAAATGGTATATCTTATCTTAACTACTTAAATTAGTAATTTTTCGTTTGTCACCTAATTCTTTCGTCCGTAAATCCGTTTTTCGGCCGTATGCACATTTGTGTTGGCGTTCATCCGTCGTTCCTTTCTCGCAATCCAATTCGAGCGACACAACCAGCCAAGGGGCTACTAAAACGAAGGGAAAAGCAAGGATGGATTGGATCTGGACCCTGAATCGGACAAATAACCACGATAAAATCCGCTGGAAGGGAACCATGAGATTGCAATCCAATGAAATCGATCAATCATCTGGTACTTTGCCTCGGCACTGGGCATTGATCCCCTACCGAATTTCCGACCACGCCGTGCATGCTCTCGCGCACCATGAGGTGGCTGACCTCATCGGCGTGCGGTGGCCGCCACCTGCTCCACGCCGCCTCCGGCCCCCATGTCCTCGTCGTCGAGACGCGCCACGCACAACATCACGAGAAGCCCCCTCGCCATCAGAGCGCATGCCTTAGTCGCCGCCGCCTCCACCACGCCGCACACGTCGTCCGTACCGGCGTATCTGGCTCCCGTCTCCCCCACAAGCGGGGCGGGTCTCCCACCTCCCTCTCTTACACCGTGGCATCAGCTAACTCCGCACGGAAGCTTCGCCGTCATCGCTCCACCAAGCCGCCCTCACATCTCTCGCTTAGACCAGTGCGTCATACAACACGAGCTGGCCGGCTTCGCTTCGGTCGTGGATCTCCACTGTCACCGCCTCACCGGGGCTCACCGAAGACATGGACGACATGAATACGTCGCTCATGGCTGTGTTGTGATGTCATCGCTGTTGCTCTGGGTGGTCGCCATCGTGGACTCATGGTTCGCTCACTTGAGGCAGAAAAGTCACGGCTAATGGGCATTTTTTTTTCATTTTTTACAACTTTTTTTATTTCTAAAGAATATATTTTTCTTGAAGGGCTTATATCATGAAAAACTAAATCCTAATCATCTAATATTTTTTATAATTTTATTTTACACGTTGCATCTATTTATTAAAAATGTTTAAATAATAAAAAAATTCTCAACCTGTCCCCTCTGCTCTTTTTTTCTTTGTCCCTGTCCGCTCTTTTTTTTTACTTTTTTATTTTTTTTCCTCACTGTCTAATCTTTTTTTATTTTTTTTCATGTCTACTTATTAATATTTGACCTCAAATACAATTTGTAAATAAAAAATAATACACGCTCTCACAAAAATAATAAGATTAATTTTTACGATTTGTTAAACTACACACATTTTCTTCAGGTAACAATACACAGGTATATTCCCACAATTGCAAAGTGAGTATAGTTTAACTGGATGGGTTTCTTGTGGTGGAACCAGTCAACATGGATTTAAATCTTTGATGAATAAAGAGCAGCACCGACTTCGACCAACAGGAGTAGAGCTATTACCTATCATATAAGGGGGCACGAACCTGTATAAAAATTCTTGTCTCCATTTCTTTTACCTTAATCTCGTATACACCCTGGTACCGACAATCCCCATACCATGCAAATACTATAGTTGTGACCTCAAAGGTCGACAGTACAATTGTAGTGTAATTACATGTTAGTCTAACTATAACTACTACATCCGTGGCTCCGTAAAAAAAAAATCTAAGCATGGACAATGACGGAGCGTGAGGCTCCTCACCGGGAGACTGCGCAGGCCCCCCTTTGCCGGTTCGGCCGGGGACTCAGGGTGAGATTCTAAGCTCTCTGTATGTGGAAGGTTCGCTAGACCGGAAACACACAAGACACGGGCGATGTATACAGGTTCGGGCCGCTGAGAAGCGTAATACCCTACTCCTGTGTTTTGGGTGATCTGCGTATGAAGGAGCTACAAGGTATGAGCCAGCCTCTCCCTTGTTCTGGGTTCCCAATCTGGAAAAGTCCAGTCCCCATCTCAGTGGGCAAGGTCCTCCTTTTATATCTTAAGGGGATACCACATGCACCATTTCTCTCTTTTTTTGTGGGGACTTACCCCACCTTTTCATAAATGGACGGAGATTTGTATAGTTGCCGTCCGAGTCACCTTCTGATGAGACGGGCCACAACTACCTCCACTTTCGCCGGGAGCAGGTGCGACGTGGAATCGTGGCTGTCTGCTGACGACATGACCGGTGTCAGACCAGTCACGTCGGTCATTCTTGTCCACCACGTGTCAGCTTAGCAATCTACATGTTCGCCCTTCTTCACACAACATCTTGCCTGCAATGGTTAGGATGAAGCCTGGCATATATCTGACCAGGACTAACGTGCCATCTCTGGGAGGTAACACGCTAGCTCCAGCTGGGGACGAGCGCCTAGAAGCCCTCGTCCTGACGGGATGGGGCGAGGCGTGTGTCAGATCGCCTGTCGCCACCTAACCCGCGATCTGACCGGTCTGTGACTGGTCACTGACCGGATAAACTAGTGCACTGCATTGCGTTACATGCGGCGTGACACGCTCAGCCAAACCGCAATAAATGTGGTTAGGTGAGCCCCACTGTGCTCACCTAACCCATATACGCAGAGCAAAGACCCACGAGGGGTCGGGGGGCCTCGGCCCTCGGGGCCGAGGGTGCGGCCCGACCCCCTCGGGGGGGACTAAGAGGAGGGCGAACACATCACCCTCGGGCCCGACGTCCCTCGGAGGTGCCAGGCCACGTGTGCGATTGTGTCTGCCTCAAACCTCTAGTCATGATACTCCTGATCCCATGTCACCGACAGACAACAAATCTGGACATGAGCACGTTTAGATTCGTTGTCCTATGTAATGTTCCATCCATATCTTTTTTTTCTTAAGGGGTACATGTACTTACTCCATCCCAGAATATAAGACATAACCACTTTTCTTCTATGTCTCATAATATAAGGCATGCATACATGCATATATTAATTATCATCTCTTGGTTCTTTAAATTTGGTTTATTTTAATTCATGTACCATTAAGTCTCCTAATCACATTGCTCGTATGTATGGATGTGATTCAATCAAGGAGGTGATTAAATTCTTTCTTGGTCTTTATGCTAGAAGTGGTTGTGTCTTATATTTTAGGATGGAGTGAGTAATATTTATATAAGTTATTTTTAATACTTATATATGAGTTATTATAATTATAGTATAGATATATTGAAATTATATTAAAGTTGTACTATAGTTAGATTTAAAAGTTTTTGTTGTGGCAGTTTTTTTAGATAGTCTAGGGGAAAAAAAACAATACACCGGTTGCGTTTTATTGCAGGAAAATGCGGCCAAAAAAGATGCACATATAAATGTCACGGCGAGGGTGATTCTCAATTTTGGCCAGGTCTAATGAATGTCAAATATACTGTCTTACATATGGGTTCTTGGATTGTGAATGATGGGAATCAAATAAGGTTCTGGGAAGATAAATGGCTAGGAAACTTGGCGTTTAAAGATAAATATCCATCTTTATACTCTATTGTCCGAAGGAAAAGTTCTACTATTGCTAATGTTATGAGTTCTGTTCCACTTAATGTTTCCTTCAGGAGATCCTTATTTGGTCAGAATCTTATATATTGGCATGATTTGTGTGCTTCCATTATACATATTCAATTAAACCAATCCTCTGATTGTTTTAGATGGAATTATCATCAGAATGTTAGATTTTCTGTTAAGTCAATGTATCTTGCTCTAATTAATAATGGTTATATTGAGAGAAATAAGATTGTTTGGAAGCTTAAGATGCCACTTAAGATTAAGATCTTTATGTGGTACTTGCTTAAAGGGGTGGTGCTAACTAAGGACAATTTGGCAAGACAGAATTGGAATGGCAGTTTAAGATGTTGTTTCTGTATGAAAAATGAGATCATTCAACATCTTTTTCTTGACTGTCATTTTGCAAAATTTGTTTGGAGAGTAGTACAGTTTTCTTTTGGTTTAAACCTCCCTGGTACCATATCTAATATGTTTGATGGTTGGCTTTTTGGGGTTCACAAGAAGATGAGTAAACTCATACTTGTTGGAGCATCTACCATTTGTTGGGCTCTGTGGTTGAGTAGGAATGATATAGTTTTTGATAAATCACCATCTATCTCATATATACAGGTAATATTCAAGGCAACATATTGGCTCCGGTTTTGGGCAAAGCTGCAAAAGTGTAAAGATGATGGAGAGTTTATGAAGGTTGTATGCCGTAAACTGGAGACGACGGTTATGCAAATATTTGCGAACCATGGATGGAGATTCACAAATAGACTTGAATGAGATTCACAAATAGACTTGAATAAATGTGTGCTCCTTTTCTTGGCTTGGTTTTTTTATCGTTGGGTGTGTTTAATTTTATTTGAACTTTACTCGTTGTTTGTGTGATTCCTTGTAATAATTGGCTGTAGCTCTAATGAGCAAAGGCAGGGATATTTATTCCATTATCAAAAAAAAAATGTCACGGCGAGGACGCCCGGAGAGCCCTGCTCGCCGGCGGCGAGCTCGCTCGCTCGCTCGCTCGTCTCAGTTGGCCCGGGACGAGATGAGGGGCTTGAGCAGGAGCATCCTGCACGAGTGCGGCGCCACGTCGAGGGTGATCTTCTCCGTCAACTCGCCGCCGGCGCCGGCCACCGTCGCGTGCCGCCACAGGTCCCTGGCCTCGACGGCGGTGCCGGCGGGGAGGCCGACGTCGTCCCAGTGCGCGGTGATCGCCGCCGCCTCCGCCGCGTGCCGGTTCAGCAGCAGCACCGCCGTCCTGTAACCCGACAGCGGCGCCGCCCACACCTCGCTGCTGCCCTCCATCCTCACCTTCTTCCCCTGGATGCCCAGAGCATCTGAATTCCCAAAAAGATCAATCCGACAAGCGCCATGAAAACTCTCTGAATTCCTGAAGCTCGCGGCAGCAGGAAGAGTAGAGTACCTTGGTTGACGGCGATGACCTCCTTGTTGGCCAGGATGTCGTACGTCTCCTGCGACATGTGCCTCACGTCGCACCCGATGATCAGAGGAGCCTGACCAATTCAGAGAAAATTTCGATCTGTCAAACCCAGCAAGAGCAGAATAATGCAAAGCAGAGTAGTATATCACCGTTCTTTTCTGGTCACGATATAGATTTTATCTCAGTTTTTGTAAACATGTTTTTAAAACTGTTAAACTATTTGGTCTTAAAAACCTTTCTATATAAAAGTTGTTTTGAAGTATTACATAAATCTATTTTTAGAGTTTGTAATAATTAAAACTCAATTAATCATACGCTAACCGATGATAACTTTCTTTTTTTCTTTACACTATTTTCATCGTCATCTTTAGTAGAAACGAATACCATCATTATCCGACATCCGTCACATTTGGTAGTACCTTGGAGATGGCCCAGAGGCTGAAATGGACGATGTACTCGTCGTTGGTCATCCCGCCATTGCCAACCTCCAGCATGTCCGGGTCTGACAAACCACAAATTATATGCCTAAGTTTAGACGAAACTGTAGCATTTGAAATTCAGACATGGATTGAACTGATGATACAGTAATATGATTCGTCAGTGATTCACTGACCGTTCCAGCCGCCAGGTCGCGCGTAGTCCGCCCACACCTCGTTCTCATCCGCCCTCGACACCATGCTGAAACAGAACGAACACAATCACATATGAAAACTCTGAACTCTGAACACTGATCCTCTCGTTTCTTGCATGTCATTTAAATAGTTGAAGACGGCGGTTCACCTCTCCCAGGTGTCCGCGATGTCGTTGGTGGTTCTCCAGCTGTTGCCGTACGCCGCGCCCCACTTCGCCGGGTGCATGTCGCCCCTGATCAATCCGACAAACACGACAGCTCGAATGATGAACACGAAACTGATCACAGATTTTTCTAATATACTGATGTGTAATCTTTTTGCATGTTCGCCAAAAAAAAAATGATGAACACGAAACTGATCACAGATTCAGAGGTTCAGAGAAACTAATACACATCGAGTTGTCCTAACCTACCATTCGCACAGCGAGAAGTAGATCGGCCGGCCGGCCATCATCAGAGCCTTGCTCATCTCCGGGTACCTACCATTGGACTACTTGTCAGAGAAATTCACGAGTCATTTTTCAGACATTCAGTATCGACGGCTTCAGAAAGTTCAGACAGGTAGTAGCACCAAGAGTGATCACCTCTCCAGTGGCTTCAGGTCGCCATTGTTGCAGTTATCATACTTGAGGTAGTCCACTCCCTGCGATAATGGTGTAACAGAACCAATGGATCAAGAAGGAAATCTTTAACACTAAACCGGTTCTTGAAAAAAGAAGACACTGAACACCTAGATAAAACCCCAAAAAATAGACATGTTTCTGAACATTTCAGTGTGATTCAGTGGCTCATTCTCACCCACGATGCGAATGTCTTGGCGTCCTGCTCCTCGTGGCCGAGAGACCCCGGCTGAACCTTCGCACACGTCTTGAATCTTCAGAAATTTGCACGCAAGAATCAGTTAAAAAAAACAAAAAATGGAGATTGGAGCAACAAACAGATTGATATTTTGCCACAGATTATTTGCTCCATCTTCTATTTCTACTGCATTGGTTAAACCACCTATTGTAATCTATTTGCAAAGTTTATTTTTCAAAATATTGATTTTTTTATGTTCTTGGCTCTTACCCTGCATCGGAGTAAATGCCTAGCTTGAGCCCCTTGCTGTGAACATAATCGGCGAGCGCCTTGATCCCGTGGGGGAATGTCTTTTTGTTGGCCACAAGATTACCCTGGGACAGTATCATCAATATTAAGTACTGTGGATGAAATTTTTTTTTGTCTGCCTTTAATCACATCAACTCTGTTCATTACAACTACAGTCCAGAAGAAATCGAAATTATCAGTGCTGCATTATCACACACACCTTCGAATCACGTTGTGGCTCTGCCCAGCAATCATCTGAAAAGTTTTTTTATATATATAAAAAAACACGATTTTATTATACTCAGTCAGGTCAAGCCATTGACGACAATATCATAGAATATCAAAACAATCATATCATTTTTCTATTAACAATATGATTTTATTATACTCCAATTCAAGCCATTGACAATATTATCCTATAATAACAATAAAAATAATCATCAGAAAAGTTTTTTAAAAAAAGAACACATGATTTTATTATACTCAATCAAGTTCCAGCCATCGACGACAAGTAATATCCTAGAATAATAAGAAAAGGGAAAAAAAGGGTTAGTCCAAGAAGCAATGACGTATGCATGACGCACGTACCGATGTTGACGTATTTGTAGCCAGCAGCTGCAAGCCCGGTTGACACAAGTGCATCAGCTGCTCAGAAAAAAAAAGGGAAAAATAATTAATCAAGATTCAACAAAGGCTAATTCATCAATTATTCTGTTTCAGACTTTCAGTCAATCAGCTCACGCTGGTAGTAGGATACTACTAGTACAAATGTACAGCTGTAAACGGCACTGCCGGACAGAAAAAAAAAAGAAGTTTATTACTCCAAACAAATATATTGCAAAAAAGGATTTAACAAAATTAATTTTTTGTTATAGAAATATTATTACATTTTCTCTATATGTTTTACCAAACTTAAAAAGAAATTTGATTTAGGACAAAATCAAAACATCCTACGTAAAATAACTGAAATTACCAGTCTCCCTGATGACGTCTTCTCCGTTGCCGTCGCAGGCGAAGTGATTCCAGCTGTTCCAGCTGCATGAAATTCAGAAGCTTAAATTAACCAAGATGCAGACTCACAAGCAGAAAGGCGCTATTGCTCACATGACAGGATAGCAGCAAAGATTAACCATTACTATTACTAGCTAACTACGCTTAACAATTAGAATTAACATTGGATTAATTAGATACGCTAAATTACTGCATGCTTAGTGACGATGTGAGTGATTATTATTCCTTACCCCATGGGAGGAGCCGTGGCGAGGCCATTGGCGAGCATGCTCCTCCGGTGCTCCTCCCCCACGTGCACCACCCTCCCGCACTCGCCGCCGGCGATCATCGCCGCCGCGGCGCACGCCACCGCAAGCAGCACCGCCGCCGCCGCCGCCATCGCCTCGGTGATCAAGAACGGCACAGCTCGCCGGCGGCTGGCTGCTGCTGATCAGCTCGAGTTAAGAAGAGAACGAGAGTGAATTAATGGCGCTCTCAGCCAGTGACGCGGCGCCACGTGTGCGATCCCCCGCCACTGACGCGGCGCCACGTGTGCACCTCCATCGAAGCCACTGGAAGCTAGAGTACGCGTGATAGGGGACACGTGTGCGCGAAAGGGTAACGTGGGGCCCGCCAGTGGGACCCACTTGTCGGCGACCGGAAGCTTCCGACCGCGTAGGCGTAGGCGTCGATCGGTCTGATGATCTGATCGTTATCCTGATGACCGAGTAGGTGGTAGGTCGACGTACGGATAGAACGGAATTTATTTCTACCGTTTTCCTGGACCGCGATGACGCTGTCCGTAGGAAGCCCGCAGAGCTACGCTGCTGCTGCTATCGGATAAGGAAAACTGATGAAAAACCTCTAAATATAAGCAGTTCAAAATAATTTATGAATAAACTCTTATACAGTAATGTAAAAATCAATGATAGGTGTGTTTGGAAAACCAGTTGTGGCTGCAGCAGCATATTTGCTGCTTGATGCACTATTGACTTGTAAACATAAAAGGTCTGTTCGTTGCAACTTTTGTGCAGCTGCGCAGTTGTAGCTGCTACAGTGACTATATTGCTTCTATGTTGTAGCTGCTGCTGCAGCAAGCTGCACCGAACAGGATCAAAAGTAGACGACGAGGGCATTTAGAAGGAGAGGAATTGTATTTGTTCCTGGTATTTAATTTTTAAATTTGTGGTCGGAAGTTTCGGAAGAAAAAATGTGCTCATGAGTGATTATTGGCTCTGAACACCAACCTCTCTTTTCGTTGATTCCTTCTGAGGTGTTGGGTGTTGGGACACGATGCTGCCGCCGACACGACACCGGGTTCCACAATACACTAATCTACTCGCGACACCTTCATTGAACTGCATATAATTATTTAGAAAGTCCATTAACACATCTTATAAAACCTTGTTGAATCATATAATCATTCTACAAAGTCTATTTGAACATCTTATAAAAAAATAAGATCTGACCTAGTCGTTACACTCTCTTACATTTTCCATTAGCCTAACTAATTCCGTGCAGGAAACGCCCAAAAATAATAGTACCAATAGTCCACTAATCCCGTGCCAGAGGCCGCCAATGATTAGTGATTAACCCAAAAAACATAATCATCATCACACGCCGCTAATGACCAGCTCTCGCTTAGCTAATCCCACAGGCGGCCCCCACACGCCACTCCTGCCATGTGGGCCCACCTTTCACACCCCCCACCAACCAGAAAAAAAACTCCCCCAAAAAAAAAACTTTTAATGCTTATCTCGCGGCAGTATAAAAGGCGACCCCACCACCCACACACAATCACAGTCAGCGACCCAACCCAACCCGAGCCGAGGAGTCGAGTCGTGTGAAAATTACGAAATTGCCCTTCGACTCCACCACCACCACCCACCGGCGAGGCGAGGAGAGGAGAAAAATTGGGAGGAAAAAAAAAGGGAAAAAGAAAAAGGGTGGAGGAGATTTTTGCGAAGCTACCGAGCCCGACATGACGCCGCATCTGCCCGTGTCGCCGTCGTCCTCCCACCACCTGCTCGACGCGGCGCCGACGCCGGCGTCGCCGGCGCACGCGCAGCACCGGCGGCGGCGGAGGAGGAGGATGTGCGGCGGGGGGAGGGGGAGGGGGGGAGGGGCGCATCAGGTGAGGTGCTGCGCGGCCGCGGCGCCGCAGCCGAGGGTGGCGACGGGGGCGGGGCTGCGCGGGGCGGCGGCGACGACGAGGGTGTTCGTGGTGTCCGACCTGCACACGGACTACCGGGAGAACATGGACTGGGTGCTGCGGCTCCCCGTCGGCGGCGGGGGAGGCGGGGGCGACGGGGTGGGGATCGACGCGCTCGTCGTGGCGGGCGACGTGGCGGAGACGCGGGACAACTTCGCGCGCACCATGGCCGCGCTCAGGGAGCGGTTCGGGGCCGTCTTCTACGTCCCCGGGAACCACGACCTCTGGCTCCGCCGCGAGAACGGCCGCTACGTGAGTTGGATTTCTCCCCACCCCCTTTTCCGTTTCCTTTCTTTCCCACCCCTTTCTTGTCCGTCTCGGCTTTCGCTGCAAGCAAGGTGTTTGACGAAATGCCTTGGCCTAGTGATTGATATGTACTACCGTTATTTATTAAAGCTACATGAGTAGTTATGTTAGTGAATTCGATCGAATGGCATGACATATGCCTACTTAGTGCTTCCCTTTATGTAGTACTAGTAAGTTGCATAAGCTGATACAAGAAATCTTAGATGTAGTACCCAGTTTATTGATGTCATTCTGAATCTTGTCACTTCTTTCTGGCAGTATTGTCCAGCTAAGCTGTATTTCAGTTGTGAATTTGATGACATGTTGATAGTACTGGTTCTTGCTTCATGACAAAGGGTGACCCGTTTGTACATAAGTAATGGACATTATTAACACATTAGTTGCGACATGGGGAAGCTGTTTGATAGCTATTCTAGCTGTTATACATGCCGCAAAGCATGACGAACAGCACAAACTATGAAATGAGAACTCTACTGTTGGATCATAGCTAGTATAACAGTGAATTTATTTATTTATTTTCCTTTTGACTGCAGCATTAATCTTTCTTTTGTACATTGCTTGGGCTGTCTCAGTTACTCAAGTTATTTCTTCCAGATGGATTCGCTGGAGAAACTGACTGCATTGCTTGATGCGTGTAGTGAGCTGGGTGTGGATACAGGCCCAAGAATAATAGGTGACTTGGGGATCATACCATTGTTCTCATGGTATCACAAGGTTGCTAATTTTCCAGCCAGACTGTAATGCACCGTGTTTAATAGGAATATCCTGTTTGCTCATTTTGCTTAATTGTCTTCCAGAGCTTTGACAAGGAAAAGGATGTTAACAGTGTTCGCGTCCCTTCCTTAGAGATGGTAACTTTCTTTTCCCCCAATGGCCTGATATGCTATTCACTGTTATAGTGCAACCACTAGGAGTGTCAATTAGCATTGATTAAGATTTCTGGAATTCCATGCTGTCAATATGATATCCCTTCAAGTGTTATTCATATGTAACCTGATCCAAAACCATGCTGTGACCTGGGTGACAAAACAATCATTAGATTGATACCTTGCTTTCAGTGTTTAGCTACCATCTGAATTTCATTTTTGCAAGCAGCTTGGCCAACGTTTTGTTCTGTTTTGTTTTGATTTGTGAAATTGGATATGTTAATACGGGTCTTCTTTCCATGGGCACTAACTTACATTGATATTATGTTACTGGTTTGAATGATCAGGCTTGTAAAGATTTCCATGCTTGTCAATGGCCTCCAGACCTGGCAAATGAAGATGAAGCTCTTGCTCTCTACTTTGACAAATTGAATGACAGAAATCAAGATGCAATTGAAGAAGTAAAAAAGAGCAGCAAACAGATACTAACATTTTCACACTTTGTACCAAGGTGAGTGCAAGTGCCTCCTCTAGTTCTATCTAGGATCCCACATCACCAAAAGTTCTCCTTCGTAATAATTTGAGGATATTGTTTCTTTGATGGCTACCATAGTACTACCTCCGTTTCAGGTTATAAGACTTTCTAGCATTGCCCATATTCATATAGATGTTAATGAATCTTGACACACATATGTGTCTAGATTCATTAATATATATATGAATGTGGACAATGCTAGAAAGTCTTATAATATGAAACGGAGGAAGTACCATACACTGGGTGTATGATGAAACTTGATAGTCTCCTCACAAATTCTCACTGAGCTCTGTGATGTCTGGGATATCTGATCGCGCTAGCAGCAAGTCTTGTAATACCATAGTAATGCCTTCTTTTCAACTCTGCAGACAGGAACTATGTCCAGAGAAGCGGATGCTTTATTATCCAAACCTCCCAAAGGTCATCGGATCAGATTTTTTGGAGAGGAGGCTGAGAACTATACATGACAACACTAAACATGGAGCCGCTTGCCATGTTTTTGGGCATACACATTTCTGTTGGGATTCTGTGGTTGATGAAATCAGGTATAACAATAGATGCACTCTCTGATACAATGTATGAAATTAGCAATCCTTATTCTGACTGGATACATCTTCTGACCTTAGGTATGTTCAAGCGCCTTTGGCGTACCCCCGAGAAAGGAAGCGAAGGATGAACGGAGGAGACGGTTGGCTGCCCTTCTGCATATACCGCGATGGTTTCAATCCTGAAATATATCCAGCTCTATGGTCTGACTACTACAACAAGAACAGAAGGGAACCAGAGAATACTCAGCTCGCTCCATGGGTTGCCAAATATTTTTCCAAGTACTACTGACCCCCTACACCGATCCAAGTCCCTTGGGTTCGCGACAGATTGGATAGAGTTGAGCCGCTCAGGACAGTGTCAAAGCAGCTGCTGCATTTTCCTGGAAGAAAAGGAGATTGACGTTTTACCTGTACATGTCTTTTGCCTTCTTTTCTTGTTTCCACTCTTACTATATGACTTTTGGGCAGGGCAACTAAGCTCGCCCTCCTGTGATGTATGTTGGAAAAATAATGTGTAAAGATTCTTTAAAGCCCTTGCTGCAAAGATAGTGACATGCTGGAAACATTAGCTAGTTCTGTTCATCCATCCTGTGTAACTCATTTGGCCTGTCTCTTTATCTGCAAAATCAATCTGCGTAGGCGTGTAGCCTCCTCACTCCTAAACTGAACGAATTCAGTGAAGTGATGCATTGGCCAAAATTTAGCTAATGACTGACGATACGATACTAACTTTGTAACTACACTAGCATCAAGAACAAACTTGAAATAAAGTTACTTCTACTTGTATATGTTTTTGTCATGAAATTAAGGCATATGAAATAGCAGAAACTCTCGTATGAAAATTGAAAGGAAGAAAAAAAAGCCTTTGCAGTTCCTTCAGAAATTGTTATGCACCTCTTCTAAAGTGAAGAACCCATCACCCACGCAATGAAAACGAAGCAGTCTATTAACACGTGATTAATTAAATATTAGTTATTTTTTAAAAAAATTAGATCAATATAATTTTTAAGCAACTTTTATATATAAACTTTTTATTAAAAAAAATACGCCGTTTAGTAGTTTAAAAAGCTCGAAAACACGCCATTTAGTAGTTGTTTGAAAAGTGCGCGCGGAAAATAAAAGGGGAGTTGGGAACAACTGTTATCAAACACAGCCTTATTCCCCCTAAGAAAGCAAACAGGCCAAGGTCCATGATGCGTGCATTCTACATTTGTATTGGGCTGGATTTCACTTTATAATGGAAACTTAATTATTTATCATTACACACTGGTAGCTCACTGTTCATACGGATCATCATCCGAGTAACCAACCAACAAATGTACATGAGCTGATCTGGACCGTCCATCCCAGCACTGGGGCAAGCAAACACACCACCCCTTATTAACCACTTAATCACACTCACAAACAACCACACACACATAGCTAATAGATATTGTAGCTGGAGGTCGCCGGCGGCGGGTCTAGTAGTCCTCCGGCGCCAGCGGCTGGTGCGCGCCGCCGTGCGGGGCGGCGTCGGCTGACGGGATGACGAGGTACTCGTAGAGAAGCCCGGCGAGGCCGGCGCCGACGAAGGGGCCGAGCCAGTACACCCAGTGGTGCCTCCAGCGCCAGCCGACGAGCGCCGGGCCGAACACCCTCGCCGGGTTCATCCCGGCGCCGTCGAACGGGCCCCCGGCGAGCATGTTGGCGCCGAGGAGGAAGCCGACGGCGAGCGGCGCGATGGTCCCGACGTGCCCGCGCTTCGGGTCGATCACCGTCGCGTAGTACGCGTACATGAGCCCGAACGTCATCGTCGCCTCCAGCAGCACCGCGTGCCAGTCCCCCACCCCCGACGCCAGTGCGAACCCCGGCGGCCGCTGCACGACGTCGCCGGCGACGGCGACGAGAAGGTATCAGAGAGGAAGCTTAGCTAGAGAGAGACATCAAGGTATATGTACGTACCATGCCGCCGGTGGTGAGGCGGAGGAGGAGGGTGGCGACGACGGCGCCGAGGAGCTGGGCGAGCCAGTAGAAGAGGGCGCGGATGAGGGAGAGGCGGCCGCCGAGGAGCGCGCCGAAGGTGATGGCCGGGTTGACGTGGCCGCCGGAGATGTTGACGGCCACCGCCACCGCCACCGCCAGCGCCAGCGCGTGCGCCAGCGACACCGCCACCAGCCCTCCCGGCGTGCTCATGTCCTGGTACAGCTTCCCTGCACACACACATCGCCATGCCACATGTCACTCCCGCGCGCCGCCGCGGCTGCCATGGATGGAAGAAATTATCAAGAAACGAGTGTGTATGTAGTGCGTACCGAGGGAGAGGATGGAGCCCTCGGCGGCGAAGACGAAGATGGCGGTGGCGAGGAACTCGGAGATGGCGGCGCGGATGGTGTCCGGGTGCGTCGCGTCCTCGCTCCGCCCCACCGTGAACCGCCGCCCTGGCCTCGCCGCCGCCGTGCTCATCTCCACACCGATCACTCACTCTCACTACTCACCAACTCTCGCCGCCGTCCGGTCCGCCCACCGCCGCCGCCGCCGAAGCCGCGCCTTATCCTAGCTAGCCTCGTCTCGATCACCAAGTGCGCAGTACAGTTGGGGGTGTGAAGCAGCTGGATCTCGTCGGCCATGGCCGCGTCGCGGTGAGCTTATAACGTGGCGGAGCCGGGCGCGCGCGCGCGACACGTGTGCATGCGCGCGGGGCGAAGCGGTGGCACGTCTCGCCGCCGCGACGATGCGTGCGTGAGTTCGTGTTCATCTCTATCGCGGGGGGAGTGGGGCCCACATGACAGGTCACCGCCACGTCACGCACCCACGTACGGACGCGCCGGGGAGTAGGTATCGTCTCGGCGTCTCTCCTTCAAGCGATGGGCGCATCTGATGCATGGATGGGAGGATGCATGGGCAACGCTGTGCTCGCGGTCGATGAGACAAAATCATAAAAGAGCTTTGATTGATTTGATTTGGAAGTGCTTAGGTTCGTCTTGTGATTAAATGGGAAGGGGTTGAAGTAATGATGTGGATTTTTGGCTTTAATTTGGTTTTATTAGCCGGTAAATGGATGAGTTCTTTTTTTTTTAGGGGGGGGGGGGGTTGTTTGGGTGATTTGCAAGTTTAGTTTTGCTTTAAGTTGTTGATTCTTTCTTCTTCTTCTTCTTCTTCTTCTTCTGGTTTGGAGGGATTAGTATTGCTTAAATTGGACTAAATGACGTGGATTTAGCCATCCCGTGTTGCTTAATTTTTGTCTGCGATGTTGTGAAATGTCTTGTATGAGCCACATGGATTGAATCTCCATTCTCCAGCAAGGATCACGCATGGTTTGTATGGCTTGCACTTTAGTTTGTTAAGATTAAAGAGGATTTTTATAAGTGGAGTGTACTCAAGCTAAAGTAGTTGTACACCTTCCGTTTGAACAGACATAGGCACCTCTGGGTAGTTGAGTTTTTTTCCCCCAGAAAAAGTTTAACAAGACTAATGGGCCAATTTAAAAACCGATCAAATCCCAATCTCAACTTTACATTAAGAAAAGATTAAGCCTCCTTTGTAAATGGGCCAAATCCTCCTTCCCAAGATGAACTTCAAATTTGAACTAGAATTCTGGCCCATGCCAAACGAGGCCTAAAATCGACACAAACACAGCTACAAATGGATACAACACTTCTCCCGGCAAATTCTGTGCAGAGCTCACCGCAGCGCGAGCTCTCGCCCCGCCGTCGCCTCCCCGTCTCCGGCGGCGGCGGCGGAGCCGGCGGCGATGTCGTCGATCATCCTGACGACGTCGTGCGCCTTGGGCCGGCGCTCGGGGTCGACGGCGGCGCAGAGCAGGGCGACCTCGGTGAGCCTCAGCATGTCGCCGTGGCGGCCCCGGTCGGCGACGATCTCCACGTCGAGGATGTCCGTCGACCACTCGTGGCTCAGCGCCAGCCGCGCCCACTCCGCCAGGTCGCCGTCCTCGTCGACGGGGACCTTCCCGGTGACCACCTCGAGCAGCACGAGGCCGAGGCAGAACACGTCGGCGCGGGAGGAGAGCCGCCGCCTCCCGCGCGCGAGCTCCGGGCACTTGGCCGCCGCGAGGCGGTGCGCGTGGTGCGGCAGCAGCGGGTGGAACCCGTGGTCAGTCAGCTTGGCCACCGGCACCGCGTCGCCGCCGCCGCCTCCGCGGCCGCCGGGCCCCGGGAAGACGACGAGCACGTTCGACGACTTGAGGTCGCCGTGCGGCGGCCGGTGGAAGAGCGGCAGCGTCTGGTGCAGGTAGGCCAGCCCCCGCGCCACGCCCTTCGCTATCGCCAACCTCGCCGGCCATGGCAGCGGCGTCCTCCCCTCTCCTCTGTTCTCTGCAGCAAAATCGAGGATCCGATATTCCTTTATTTTTATATGTCTCTTAAAAAGTCACAGAAAATTTTAAAAAATTTAGTAAGATAGATCTATACGTGATTTATCACTCCACAACACATGCAAATTCAAATTCAACTTATATAAATAGAAACAAAAATAACAAATTTAATTATGAATCTAACGCGTAATTCACGTTCAAATTTATTATTATTTTTTAAATTGTACAAGTTAAATTTTGACTCATATATTTACGAAAAGATATATCATAATTTTTTTAAAAAAAATTGATAATTTTTTAAGCTGCATACACAAAACGAGAGGATATCGTCTTGAGGTAAAAAATCACACACTTCCAAAAATCGAAACTCTTCGTCAGATCAGTCGCCATGGCAGCCACTACTCCGATCAAGAATGGCCATGGACTGACCGTGGAGGAGGTGGAAGAGGCTGCGGCCGGGGACGTGGTCGTAGACGACGAGCTTCTCGTCCTTGGAGAAGTAGCAGGCGACGACCTCGACGACGTTCTCATGGCGGAGCTTGCCGAGGAGCTGCATGGTGTGGGCGAAGTCCTTGCGTGGCACGTGCCCCATGTTGCGCAGCCGCTTCACGACGACGACGACCGGGCCGCCGCCGCCGCCGCCGCCGCCGCCGGCGTGGAGGGCGACGCGGTAGGTGATCCCTAGCCGGCCCTTGCCGAGCATCTCCGCCGTCGAACGGAACAGCTCGTCGAGGCTGAAGGTCGCCTTCTCCGGCCGGAAGAACTGTAGCTGATCCGCCGCTCCCTTGCCGGACTCCGTCGTGCTCCGGCTTCCGTTGCCGCTGCCACTGCTCACCTTCTTGCCGGCTTGCTCCGCCGCCTTGTCCTTGATGTCACCTGCCACTGGTCACGTCGCCGTCAATGACTCGTCGAGAAGAAAGCGGCGGCGAGCGAAGTGGAGTGGGTTTTGTGGCGTGCTTACCTGCGGTGGCGGCCGGCGGCGGCGCGACCGCCGCCGAGACGAACCACCCGGCTCTTCTTGCTGTGGTGGAGGAAGATGAGCACCGCGGCGAACGGCACCAGCGCGGCGATGAGCGCGATCACCACGACGCTCCACCTCGCTATCCTGAACCGGATGGGCTTGCGCCACCGCGCCGGCGGCGCGGCGGCGTCGCGCGCCCCGAAGACCCGATCACCACCATCGCTGCCGCTGCCGCCGCCGCCGGCCGGCGCGGCGTCGAATGGCGAGCCCTCGCGGCGGCACTCCGTCCTCACAACCTCGCCGCAGAGCCTGAGGTTGTGGGCGAACGCGGTGGCGGGGAACCGGCGGAGCGCGCGGGTGTCGGGCACCTCGCCCTGGAGGAAGTTGTACGACACGTTGAACACGGCGAGCCCGTCCTGCTCGAACGCCGGCAGCGTGCCATTGATCAGGTTGTCCTGGAGCTCGAGCCGCGTGAGCTCACCCAGCGCCGCCGCGTACCCGCGCGGGATGGGCCCCGAGAACCGGTTGCTCGACAGGTCCACGACGCGGAGCCGCGCCAGCGCGTCGAGCCGCGGGAGCGCGCCGTGGATGGCGTTGTCGCGCAGGGACAGCGTCTCCAGCCGCGCCACGCCGGCGAGCGCCCCCGCGGGGAGCGCGCCCGTGAGCTGCGCGCCGTCGAGCTGCACGCCGACCACCCGCCCGTCGCCGTCGCACGCCACGCCGTACCACCGGCTCCGCCCGCCGTGGCACGGCGGCCCCGTCCAGTTCGAGTGCAGGTCCCTCCCCGACCGCAGCGCGTCCCGCAGCGCCACCAGCCCGCCCCGCTCGTCGCGCAACGCCTCCAGCTCCGGCTCTGGCCACCCCACACCCTCCACCACCGCCGCCATCGCCGCCGCAAGAATCACCACCACCACCATCACCACCCAAACCCATGTCGTCTCACACCTTGTCCCGATCATGGCGGCGTTCTTGAAGCCCTAAACCACGTCAAGAAACACCATAATAAACAAATGGATCCCAACAATGGCGGGACGATGCTTGCCGGGAGGAGAAGAAGAAGAATGCGACGGCGAGGGGAGAGGCGGGAGGAGGAAGAAACCATGATAAGAATACATGGAGGGAGGAGGAGTGAGATTTGGTGGTATGAGGCTACGGATTAGGTGGTGGATTCGACGTGAACATCTCGATGGATCGATCGGCGGTTTGGTCGCGGTTGCATTGACGACGGCTCAACCGATAGCCTTGGAGAAGAAGGGTGAGACTCGGAAGAGTTGCAAAGAAACTGAAGTGCTCAGTTGGGTGAAGCTTCCAACTCTTTCACCTATATTTCCACATGAGATGTGTGGTCATGCAAATTGTTTTGAGATATATAGCACATGAGAGGTTTGGTGCTTGCTGATGATTCATCAGTTTGTTCAATTCTCGTTTCCTTTTACTATTATTTTTAATTTATGATCCAAAAATATATGGTTTTGCACTATTAATTTCTAGATTCAAAACGTAGGTTGTGTGCCGTATGGCAGAGGATGTGGATATAAAACATTAATTTTCAATTATATTTACAAAATGTATTTTGCAATTTTTTAAAGAACTTTTCGTGACTATTTGGTTTTTTATTCTTAATTGAGTTAACAATTGAGAACCTGTTCGTTTCTTCTAAGGCTAGAGGATAAAATTTTGCATACTTGTGGCACGTTTTTCAAACTGCTAAACAGTGTGTTTCGTGCAAAAACTTTCTATATAAAAGTTGTTCTAAAATATCATATTGATCCATTTTCAAGTTTGTAATAACTAACACTCAATTAATCACATGTTATTACTATCTCGTTTTATGTAAAACACTTAATATTTATCTTCAGAAGATTCAAACACCACCTAAAGCTGAATTTTGGAGTAATCATGATGTTTTAAACTAAGGATTTAAGAAAACATTAAAGGTTTGATCGAATTTTATCCTACAACATTAAATATTTCTGACCAGATGGTGATTTTTAGGTACAATTCACAACTATTCGGTTGGTGATCCTTGGTTGAGTTAACACTTGAAGCTGAATCTAGACTACTACTAATCAGGATATTCAACTTGGGTGCAACTCCCCAACTGATCCTGCAGCTCTGCACCAACCGTAGGATGGCAGTTGCAGGACAATCGGACGGCCGCGACCACGCCACGTGGCGACCGATGGAGTGACGATCACGTTGGGAGGTTACGGTACGCTTTGCTCTCCCCACAAGCCATCACCGTAACATGGAAGCCAACTCATACTTTGGTAGCAGTAGTAGTTAGCAGTAGCTGGCTGGATAAGCAGAGATATCAGAAGAGGTCCAAAAGAATTCAGAGACATTCAGACAACACACAGGCTTTATCTTTCACATCTTTATCTTTTCTTTTCTCTTTCTCACTATCTTTTCATCCCTTTCGGGTTCCGGAGAAGCATCAGGGATCAGGGGAAGGGTGTGTGTGTGATTAGTGTGGGGTGTTCAGAGGCTAAACCCAGTGTGTGTGAAGATTATTAGGGCGTAGATCGCTGTCTGATCTTGTGTATTGCGATTTTGCGGCGAGTCTTTTGAGATGGCGAGATCGTGCTTGAAAGCGCTGGAGGTTTGCCTGCAGGATGTTGCACTTGCATTAGTTGCATCCTCGTGTCAGGTCCCAGAATGACTACTACTAGAAGCTTTGGTGCTGAATTATTTGGAGGCTAACATGTGGATTCTGACTTAAGAATCCTGAAGCCGCTGCCTTCGCATCTGTAGGAGTACTGGTCCGTTCCAAAAAAAATCTAATCCTAACAATAAATCTGGATACACATGTGTCTAGGTTCTAGGATTAGGTTAGGATTAGGTTTTTTAGACGGAGGGGATATTTCAGTTGAAGGATATGCAGCCATGCAGGTGTTTCATACTTGCATTATAATGTCAGAAGTTAGAGGTCAGAATTGGCTAATGCTTACTACCTCCGTCCCAAACTAATAGTCGCTTCGACCTTTTCTTGTAACGTTTGACTATTCGTCTTATTTAAAAAATTAGTGCAAATATAAAAATATAGAAGTCATACTTAAAGTACTTTTGATAATAAAGCAAATCACAAACAAAATAAATAATAATTCTATAATTTTTTTAATAAGACGAAAGATCAAAAGTTAAAAAAAAAAAACTTAAAGCGACGAGTATTCTGGGACGGAGGCAGTAATAAGTATGGGCTACGATGGTTTTAGCTATATTACTGATGAGTTGTGAAACAAATGAACAAATCTAACTTATGGGTAAAACTTTCGTATCTAAGTTGCGATGGTTCAAAAACCGAGGCATCTCATGTAAAAAATAGACCAATATACTCCCTCCATTTCAGGTTATAAGATATTTGATTTTTAAAAGTCAAACTGTTTCAAGTTTGACTAAGTTTATAGACAAATATAGTAATATTTATAGTACTAAATTAGTTTTATCAAATAAATAATTAAATATATTTTCATAATAAATTTGTGTTGGGTTGAAAATGCTATTACTTTTTTTCTACAAACTTAGTCAAATTTAAAGTTGTTTGACTTTGACGAAAGTCAAAACGCGTCTTATAACCTGAAACGAGAGAAGTATAAATTACTGCAATATTAAATTTTAAAATCCAGATTTAAGGGCCAGTTTGGATTGCTAAAATTTTGGTAGAGTAGCACATCAAACATCTCTATTAAAATACTGCTTATGCCACAAAATTGACTTTGCCCATATACTTGTCTCTTATAGGCATATTTTGACTTCAATACAAATGAGTATTTTTAACTCTACCCTACCAAAATTTTGGTAGTGCCAAAACTTACCTAAGATTTAGCACTACTAAAATTTTGGTAGGACATTAATCCAAACATGCACTAACCTTCAAAACTAAAATTTAAGATTTAGATTTTGGCTACGGCTAATAATCTAATAAGCATACATATACTTGCCTGCCAAGATGGTAAATTGATGTCTTTGTGATTGACACATGTTGATGGTTATATTTGATGGATCGGGCGTTGTAAGTGCTTGCATTTATAATATGTTTCTAAAAAAACATATTTTATTCATAGTAATTATAATACTGGTGGTAGAACACCGTCATTAGATACGGTCTTAAAACCATTGGACGCATGTACAGTTATGCAACATCAAATCTGATATATAATTTACGAGGGCTGCTATAAAACAGAATCCGTTACAATGGGATAGACATATTAATTATTCTCTCACACGAATATCACAGGTATCAGGTCCTAGTAATCACAGGTACCGAATAACAGGTATCAGAGGTATCGAGTACCATGCAACTGTTACCATACACAGGTATCAGGTATCTTATCTAGGTTTTCTGATGATTTATAATTCCATCAAGGACTACATGATTTTGTTTTCCATATTATTACCAGTATCATATGGTAGCATGGTCAGTACATTTTGCAACACTGATACACAGTGGCGGATCTCAGACATATTCTGTGGGGTCGTCTGATCCCACAGTTTTTTAGAAAACACTTGATTTTCATGTATAAATTTAAAATGTTTAAATAAATGACCCTAATTAAATACAAACTAATTGACCTCACGGGATTAAATTCCTAACTCCACCACTGGTGACAGCCTGACACAAACACTACAATTTGTCAGTTGAACTGAATTTTTTCCCCTTTTTAGAAGCATGAAAAGAGACTGACTGGCCACCATAATATTTCAACGACACAGATAGCACATAATCACATGAAAAATGGAGAGATACTGCAGATACTCTAAATTCTGAAAACGACTTGAATTTTCAGAGTGTATATATCGGAGCAAGAACAAAGCAGAGAAAAATCACAAAAATCAAAACGCTACCACAGCCACACTCTCACACACACATATATCCGATCGATTTGGCGCCAATTGCGAGACGCACACACGTTAGAACCCAAATCCTCCCTGGGCCTCGAGTTCCAAATCCCCAAATCCATTTTCTGAACCAGTAAAATTTCAAAACCACCCAATTTGAGACAAATTCCTCAAAAATTCAGAAATCACAAAACCACACACTGACCCATCAAACCGGGAGGAGGCTTTAGCCGTTTAAGTCCTCTCGCGCGCCGTCGCCGCCGCGCTCGCCACGCCACGCCACGCCACGCCGCGCGCGCGCACAGCAATGGAGCTCTCGCTTGCCTCCGCGAAGCCCTCGCCTCGCGCCGCCGCCGCCGCCGCGGCGGCGGCGGCGGCATCGTCGTCGCTGCTGTCGCTGCGGGGGAGGAGGAGGAGGGTGGGGGTGGTGTGCGCGGCGGTGTCGTCGGGGGAGGAGGTGTTCGGGGGGAGGAGGGAGCTGGCGGGGGTGCAGCCGCTGGTGGAGGCGCTGCCGCCGGTGGCGAGGGCGGTGGTGGAGCTGGCGGTGGTGGCCGCGGCGGCGGCGGCGGGGTACGTGGTCGGGCTCCGCGCGGGGGGCACGCGGACCACGACGGTGGCGGGCGCGGCGGCGCTCGGGGCGGTCAGCGTCGCGGGCGCCGCGGCGGTGAACTCCGCCGTGCCCGGGGTCGCCGCGGCGGGGCTGCACAACTACGTCGCCGGCTCCGACGACCCCACCAAGCTGGAGAGCAGCGAGGTGGAGGCCATCGCGAGCAAGTGAGTGTTGGATTTGCAGATTGCTCGTCTATACTTGCTGCATTTGGTTGTGTGATTTTTTATTTTTACTCGTTTACTTCTGAAACTCCCATTTGCTGTTAGAATGCTAGTAAAATTTTGTTCTAGCTTGTTTATGCAAATTGAACAACCTATAATTATCAGGAGGAGGAGGATTTTTTTTTTTTTACTAATGCGAGCTAAAAATTCTGTTTATAAAATGAGATGCATATTGCCATACCTATAAAATTAAAATTAGAATTCATATATTGAATGTATCTCTCTTACTCCGTCAAATGATCCTTTTACTATCAATTATTTTTAGATACGGCGTTAGCACAGAGGATGCAACCTTCAAGGCCGAGCTCTGTGATTTGTATGGCAGGTATGTATGTTTCCTTCTAGAAATCAATCTTAAACATGTCCTGTTTTTAGTTCAGATCCTTTTTTTTTTGGTCTTGTAGTATATAAGCATTTGCTCATCTTGTTCTCATGTCCATTTTATTCCAGGTTTGTTTTCTCATTAATTCATCCAGGATATGAAGACCTTGAAGGTACTGAAGTTGAGACTATTATAAAGTTTAAAAAGGCCCTTGGGTTGAATGATATAGATGCTGCAAATGTGCACATGGAGGTAGTGCCCCAAGATCTAGGCCCTTTTATTTCTAACTGTCTGCCTCAGATATTTCTTCTACTTTAGTCTTCATTTTCACATTTCCACAGTTTTCCCTTCCTCCTCACTTCTTTCATTGCGCTTGTTGTAATAGATTGCTAAACGCATTGATCGCAATGCTGGTGTAGGACAACAGCAGGTACGTGGTTGTGCTGTGATATATACATGGGTACTTTGAATTTTCTATTGATCCGATGATAACCATTTTAAATATTTGGCAGGCATTTGAAAAGCTTATATTTGTAACAAATCTTGTGTTTCGGGATGCATATGAATACCTACTTCCATGGAAACGTCTTTTCGGGGTTCATGAATCTCAGGTACTTAATTAAAATAATCATCATTCGTTTAAACCGTGCATATCATCTCTTTGTTTCATGATCTCGTCATATGGAGAAAGCAGGGGATCATTAGAGAGTTTTAATCATCTATGCTGGTATTTGAAGTCTAGTTGCACAAATTCTCTGACATTGTTACCACTGCAATTCTTAAAGGCCTCTAGCATGTTGAGTAATCTCTTTGCATAATGTTGTACTATTGTGCTGTTCTCAGTGTAATGGTTGTTGGGTTATGGCTTTGGCCGAAAGCCTACACTGTCAAGGTCAGCATCAGGTCACATGTATTGGCAAATAATATTCTCCACTTAATCCCAAAAAATGCAACTTAGAGCATTGCTCTTGCCACTGTAACATTATTAGCAATTAAATGCAAATTTTATAACAATATGGAAGTCTGAATTATGACAATTACTCCAATATTATTTTCTTGTGGTTAATTTCAATATCTACAATTTGTAAAGTTATCAGCTATAACTATGAAAAAAAAATACATGGCCCACTGTGGCATGCTGGATATGGTGCATGTAATATTATGTGATACAACTTTTATCCCCACCCCCCCCCCCACCCCCAAAAAAAAAATAATAATGCTCAACATTTTGCATGCTGGATAGAACCAAAAAAGAAAGGATGTGCATGCGATAAATTTGAAAGTTATTTATAATTTGTCCTGGCTTGGTCAAGGTGCAAAATTTTGAATTGCATGGGCACAAAATGATTTTCGAGTTTTATACTGGAGATGTACTTGAAAGGGGAGACCTCTCTTGGGGGAAAACTTTGTTCTTGCCACTAGAAAAGTATGCTGTTTTTTGCCATCAAAATTACACCATTTCATTTTTGCTTTCCAAAATTTTGCGCTTATCTAATTTTTTCCATCATCATCAAACCCTGCTAGTTGACCATTACTACTGTAGTACTATGGCGTTTGACTTTCACATATTTTCTTACTAAGACCAAAATGCCTCTATCAAATTGTGTGCCCAATTTGTCAGCCTTTACCTCTCTTTTGATGCCCTTTCTCACCATTTCTCTCGAAGGGTTGGAACTTTCAGTAAAAAAATTCAGAGTGCACCAAAATAACCAAAACTACAGACTTCTAAAAGCTTAGGTGCTTTTATCTACAAATTTACAAATAATTTATTTTTTATCAAGATTTTAGACGAATTGAATTATTGAATGATTTTCATCAATTTGAATGAGTCAGTATTTTTTAGTGTGACAATTTCAACAAATTAAAATTTGGTATTGTTTTTTGAAATATTAAATGAATAACACCAAATTTGGATGAAGGGGTGTGTTCATGTGATGGCAGGAACTTCATCTGACTATAACGCCTCTTTGTCAATTATGTCGGTGCGAGATAGAAGTTTGACTAAGACTTTGGTTAGCTGTATTGGCAAAACAATACACACAAAGATGGTGCAGACGAAATAAGGAATTAATTTTGTGTCAAATACAAAAACCGGTGCTTGCTTATTACTGGCATTAGTTAGTAGCCTATGCAAACTTTGTAGTGGCATGAACAAAATTTCCTTATCAGCAATGAGTATGCAGATTGCCTGCAAGCTGTACAAAATGCGCATTCACATATTTCTCATGTGCTTTTGTTCATATTTTAGTGCATAGCTTCTTTTGGGTTTATATCTTGTTTGATGATAAGATTTTATTTAGTTACATTATTGTTGTTTTCGGCAGATAGACGATGTTATGAGGGAAAGTGCCAAGAGTTTATATGCATCATTGCTCAAGTCTATTGGGAGAGGTACTGAGACACTTATATTTCTCTTTTTAAGGCATTAGTTCCATCCATAACTGTCATTATGTATACTAGATTCACTGTTACAGAGTATTTATGTCTGAACAGAGACTTGGAGCAGTGCAGAACTGCAGATAGCAATGTTATCTCCTGCTTGTATAATTATACTTGATAGACTATTTACTGCATTTCTACAGAAATCTCAACTCAACATATTCTGTTTCTCTAGGTCTTGACATAGGCACATTAATTGAAGTAAGGAGATCACAACTAGCATATAAACTTTCTGATGAGGTAACACTTTTCCTCTGAAAATTTTACTGCTTATTTGCTTTTCCCCATTTTTTCGTTCATTTTGATAAATACTTGGGAAAATACCACTTATATCTAAGTGTGCACGCTTGCCAAGATGTCAGACTCTGGCGTTTGGACAACAAAAAAGTTTTCTATATTTGATTATTCACATAAATCTTAAATATGATATGTAAGATGAATGGAATTCATATAGGCATACTACGTTGTTAAGCGGCATATTCTATTATTTAAATTTATTGCAGATTGCTTCTGAGATGTTCAGGGAGCATGCAAAGAAGTTAGTTGAAGAAAACATTTCAACAGCCTTGAACAACTTGTAAGTCGTGTACCAAAGCAACGTATGAAATGCACTTTTGGACAACTTGTCCATGTGAATATAGATTCACTACATTTCATAACATGAATGGATTTGGCTTCATAAACCATATCTTTACAGGAATAACCGAACACAGGTTGTTGAAGAAGTGAAAAGCATCCTTTCATTTAATGGTATGCTTACAGTACTGAGCAATTTCCCGGGAGAAGAAAGATTTGTCCGCGGGCTTGGGCCTATTACATTAGGTAGAGTGGTAAAGTATTTCGAAATTCATGTGTTAATGAGGTGGCCCTTTTCTAATGCTGGCTCCTGTGCTTTGCTTTGCACAGGTGGAGACAGTGATCATGAAAAGAGGGTAGAGGATCTAAAGATGCTCTATAGTGCCTATGCAATGGAGGTACTTTCAGATGGACATCTTAACGATGACAAGGTGATTTCATGTATAATACCATCTTTTCAGTTTACTGGTGCTGCTTATGAGATGCCAAGCTGAAATGAGGCTGCCGGATGGCAAATTCAATTAACCATCTGCGTTGAAACATAACATTGCAATTTCACCGACCCTTAAAACATAGCAGCAGTTGAGACAGTCTGGCCTTCGCAATTGTGAATTATGTCAAGCATTAGTTCAGTGGCTTGAATCTACTAGCACATGGATACTAGTCTGGTCTTAACTTGGTTCAGCTCAGATCTACGTTATTTGTTGAAAATCGGTGATCAGTATCTAGATGGAGATTCTCATGATAGAGCCCAGATCATTTTACTGGTCCAGCTTTGTGAGAATGCCAAAGACAGAGTTCAATACACTTTACCCAGTTGATTGTGAAATAACAAGTACTGTAAACACTTGTAAATAATGCAGTCAATCCGGACCAAGATTGCTTGAGCACATACCATCAACATTTTGTTTTTTCTGTTGATCTGCTTATACTTAGGTGCATGCATGCTTTATGACAGCTGCGTCTAACAATTTGTTCTACCTTGGTAGCATGATATCATATTAACCGAATCCTTTACATGATTATGGTAATGCAGCTTGCGGCTTTGAATCAACTGAGGAATATATTTGGACTGGCGAAGTACGAAGCAGAAGCAATCATCACAGATGTCAAGGCTCGAGTATTTCAGACCTACTAAATTCTTTAACAATGAGTTGGCTGCGACCCCAAAGAAGGCAGAGTTCCTCCAAGATATCTGCGAAGAGTTGCAATTTGATCCTCTCAACTTGCAAGTAAGATGCATGAAGGTGCCATCCTGACACCTTCCCTTGTTCCACCACTAGTTTCACAACGTAGCTGCCCTGACCGCCTTGAAATCTGGGCAAATTGAGAACTGGGTTTCTCTTGGTGGCTCTATCTATATATATGGTACTTAGAGAAAATAACATTATAATATTGCAGGCCCTATTCCTTTTCAATATCTGCTTATACTATGTGTAAATACACTCTAATATAATAATATTATAATAATTAGAGGCCTCTATTCCCCTCTGGCTGGCTTTTGTATTTAGAGGACTGAGAGAACTGGGACAGTACTCACTGATTGTTCATATTTATGTATTAGTTCATGTGTTGTGTATACTGTATACATAGACATATTTGGTTGTTTTTGGGAGTGTACATATCTGAAATTGGTAGCAATTTTTCATGCGATGTGGTAGAAGATATACTAGTTGAGAATGGCAGCTGGAAGAACTGGAATCTGCATGGAAATTGGTTCAGTTTCAGGCTTTCAGCAGCACAATACAGACATTCAGTTTGCACTTGTTCCTGTTTGGGTTATGTAATCTGAAGAAAGGAAGATGGATAATTGATCATATAGTACTTTGTTCCGGTCTGTATGAGAGTGTATGCATGTATGCTTTTGTTGCTGACAGTTCACTTGTGCAAGCCTCAGCATTTCTTGCTTGTAACACATGATAATCACAATGGTATGGAATGTGTGTGTTCAAAGAACTTAATGGTTGAACTGCTGGGATTTGTTGGTGGCAATGATTAGGAATGAATCAGCAACAGAGAGAGGACAAATATGGTTGGACCAAAAGTACTATTGTCCCTTATGGCTCTCATCGTCTCACCTATTTCAAAGAATTCAGTTAGGAATAATAATACTCCCTCTGTTACTAAACATTTGACGCCGTTGATTTTTTTAAACATGTTTGACCGTTCGTCTTATTCAAAAATTTTAAGTAATTATTAATTCTTTTCCATCATTTGATTCATTGTTAAATATACTACTACTACTCAAGTTTTTTAATAATATTCACAAATGTTTTTGAATAAGACGAACGGTCAAATATGTTTAAAAAAGTTAACGGTGTCAAATATTTAGGGATGGAGGGAGTAACTAATAAGAGGTCACAGTAACTATGGATTTAGTTTTTTCCTCTTTGAAAATAAAATTGCCCTGGGATTTGTTGTTAGCCTTCGTCTCTTGAGCTTATGCTATACATGTTCGTACATCCATGCGTGTATTGTGTTTTCCTTGTTATATAAAAAGGGGAATACCTATATGACATTCCCTAGAAAATAACCCCGAAATATTTCAAATTCTGGACCGTTGGATCACTTTGAAATTTGTACAACTATTCTCAACCCTAATCTACCTTCTCTCCCTCCCTAATGTTGAGTTATTATCTATACTTTCCCAACTCACCCCCTCGTTTTCCCTAATGCCGAAAGGCGCCACTGGTGCAGGTGAGCCCACCCCCAACCGACCTCCTCCTCCCTCCCCTCTTTTTCCCAAGATGGCGGTGGCGAGTGCCCCTACCCTGCAATCTTCCCTGTCTCTTACGGCTCCCCATCACTACTGGCCATCACTTCCTAATCACAAGCTTCGCTTTGCCCCTACCGGCAACGCTGACCTACCTTCCTTCCCATTTCCGTGGCTTTGGTGTTTTTGTTGGTGCCTCGTTGTTCATGTCCACCGTCTATCGTCGGGGCGCCAACTCCCATAGCCATCCCTCTAAGTCCGGTGATCTTCCATCTCTTTCTCCTTCCCCATCTCCAACCCATGCCAACCCTAACCCAAGACCTTAAATCCTAACTAGTTGGATCACCATCGATCGCTGTAACAGGAGGAGTTAGGGTTGTTGGAACACAAATTGTGAAATACTCCCTCCATCTACTTTTGATAGTCATATTTCTAAATCTGAAAAATTTATTTTTGATAGGCATATTTCAATCCAACAATCTATCCTTGAATTTCTCGAATTTAATGCGTGACTCTCCATTTTTCCACACAAGATTGGCTACAGGGACACCGAGAAATGTAAATACTAATGAATCGCTTGTATACGAAAAATGACTAGTAGCATGTTTGAATGTATGATAAGTAGAATTACTTATTCTTGGTCTGTGTGTCAAGATGAAATATGACTATCAAAAATAGATGGAGAGAGTAAATCTTAAGGTCTGAATTTTGCAATATTGGAGTCCTAATTTTTCGTCGGATGTGATCTGCCAATTTTCACGGAGAATACTACCTTAATATAAAAATATAGCAATCTTTGTATAGTTGATTATGGAAGTCATAAATATATTGAAATACTCAAGACCTCAGGATCTGAGTATTGTCAACTGATGAAGAACATGGAGAGCATGAAGTCACGACCTGAGTTTAGGGTCGCAGCTTAGACCCACACCACCACCCATCAATAATTCCACTCCCCTCCTAAACTCCCCACTTCCCCCAGCATTCACGCCGACCGAGTCACCGACACAAACGCGCAATAATATGTCCTCACCTCGACCCAAAAATCGAGAAAAATCACCCCAAAACAGAACACTGTAGCATCACATTACTACTATCACACATCACTAGAAAACAATCCAAACCACAATTGCAGCAACACTATTACCACTAACAGCGATCATACACTACTATTAAACTAAAAAGAGAAAAAAAAACACTAACAGCGATGCAAATGCAAGAGAAGCTGCCATCTCCTTCCTGAAAAGTCGTGCTTAATTAGTGGGACGGGTGACGAGCAAATCACTCCAAACCTTGCTTCTCCTCCTCCTCCTCCTCCTCCCCCATCTCCGGCGCCGCGCGCCGCCGCCCGGAGGAGAGCTTCTCGCCGGTGCTGCTACTGCTACTAATCCCCACACCCACCTGCTCTCAGCTCAGCTCAGCTCAGCTTCCCAGCTCGGCGAAGAAGATGAAGACGAGGAGCTCGGGGAGGGGAGGAGGGGAGCCGAGGAGGAGGCTGAGGAATGCGGCTGTCATGGCGCTCATGCTCTCCTCCCTCGTCGCTCTCTCCCTCGTCCGCGCCAGGTTCTCCCCCATCGGTAATCGAATCGAATCCCCCCATCCTCCTCCTCTTCGCCGCTTAATTGTTTTTTGTTGGATGCTGCTATGGTGGCGAGGAGAAGGCGAGAGCTGATTCGGAGTTCTTCTCCCTTCCTTCGCAGCTAGTGATGGAGGCGAGGCCCTCAAGCTCAAGGCCGACGAATCCAAGCTCGTCGTCACCACCAATCACGCCGTCGTCAACACCGAATCCGGCGACTCCTCCTCCTCCTCGTCGTCGGCGGCTGGTAATTACGAGATGCGTTTCTTGGATCTTGAGCGGCGCAGTGCAGCGCATTGCTTGGCTGATTCGTTCTTGGCGATTTCATTTCGTATCCGTTTTTTCGATTCGAGTTTAGTTCAAACGAGGACTAGAGGAGAGGAAGAAAAAGAGGAAAAGGAATCGAAGAATCCATGAATTCCACTGGCTGTTTAATAACTAAGAAGAAATTGAATTTGTTTTTTTTTTTGCGAGTTGTTGTCCTAGTTCATAATTTATTTCTTGGGCTTTTTGCGGAGTTTTTGCGCTAAAGAATGGCGTGGATTCGGCTGCGAGATTCCGCGACCACAGATCTAATTAAAACCGATTCTCCTCGTGTTGCTGCAGCGGAGGAGGAGGAGGAGGTCGCCGCTCCGGCGAAGCCCGCCGCCGCCGGCGGCGGCGGGGCCAGGCCGGTGTGCTACGAGACGAGCCGCCGCTCCGACACCTGCGAGGCCGCCGGCGACGTGCGCGTGGTGGGGGGCAGCCAGACCGTCTACGCCGACACGCTTGACCGCGAGTGGAAGACGAAGCCCTACTGCCGTAAGCACGACGCGTTCGCGCTGTCCCACGTCAAGGAGTGGACGCTCAGGCCGCTCCCCTCCGGCGATGGCGGTGGCGGTGGCGCGGCGGTGGCGCCGAGGTGCACGACGAACAGCACGGCCACGGCGTTCGTGCTGTCGACCGGCGGGTTCACGGGGAACCCGTTCCACGACTACACCGACGTGCTCATCCCGGCGTTCATCACCGCGCACCGGTTCGGCGGCGAGGTGCAGTTCCTGGTGAGCAGCTACAAGTCGTGGTGGATGAACAAGTACATCCAGATCTTCCAGCAGATGAGCCGGCACGACGTGGTGGACGTCGACGCTGACGGCGACGAGGTGAGGTGCTACCGGAGCGCGGTGGTCGGGCCGGAGTTCCACAGGGAGCTCGGCGTCGACCCAACCAAGACGCCGTCGGGCTACTCGGTGCTCGACTTCCGCAAGATGCTCCGCGGCGCGTTCGGGCTGGACCGCGCCACAGCGACGCCGAGCGGCGACCGGTGGGACATCCGCCGCCGACCCCGCCTCCTGATCATCTCCCGCCGCGCCGCCCGTGGCCGCGCGTTCATGAACGAGCGCGCCATGGCGGACATGGCGGCGAGCCTGGGCTTCGACGTGCGTGTCGGGGAGCCCGACGCGTCCACGGACACCTCCAAGTTTGCTCGCCTCGTCAACTCCTGCGATGTCATGGTGGGAGTGCACGGCGCCGGGCTCACCAACATGGTGTTCCTACCCGCCGGCGCCGTGCTGGTGCAGGTGGTGCCATACGGCAAGCTGGAGTGGCTGGCCCGGAACACCTTCGCTGAGCCGTCGTCCGCCATGGAGATCCACTACCTGGAGTACGCCGTGCAGCTTGACGAGACAACGCTGAGCGAGCAGTACCCCGCCGATCACCCAGTGCTGCGAGACCCTATGGCCATCCACAAGCAAGGCTGGGAAGCTCTCAAGACCACTTACCTCGACAAGCAGAATGTCCGGCCGCATCTCGGCCGCCTCAAGAACACCTTCCTCCAGGCCCTCAAGCTGCTGCCCCATGACAAGGAAACCATGAATTAGCTTAGCTCATCAGAACTGTTGATCGTCATGGATTGTCATCGGCACCGTCATCGCCATCGCCATGCCATCGTCATGGTGACTTGAATTTGTGGTATAAATAGATAGATAGGTAGCTAATTTTTTTTCTTTTTTCAAAATTATTAGTATTTTGTATTGATCCCTAGCAAGTTGCCAAGATCAGGTATAATCAGTAGCTTATCTGAAATAATCCGTTGCAACGCACGGGTATTTGGCAATGTCTATAGAAACAATGGTGATATTGTTTGTATGCACCATATTTCTTAACATATCAAGTAAGCCAAATTATCTTATACTAGCAGAAACCCATATTTTCATGGATTTCTTCCAAAATGTCTTCTCCTGGCATATGTGTGGTTCATGATCATTATTTTGCATTGGTTAGTCAAGGTTGATGGCCTGTTCTGTGTTAGTGATGTTTTTGCAATTGTCAGGACTTCTCAGGTTGTCATCAAGGAAGCAATTTGCATGTGTTTGATGAATAGTATGACACTAATAGACAACATGTTGATGTGAAGGCAGCACATGGTCTGAAGAACCTGAACAGGGAAGGTGTCATGGCCATCATCTTCAGTAAACTCACCAAATTATTGCTGAGAGGCAGCTTATTTCTTATTTTCAGTATACTCCTACTAACTTTGAATCAAGTTTATTTCTGTATTGCCAGATCCAAAGAAAGCTGTATCAGGAGAATGCAATGGTCTCCCTTAACACTGTTGTTAAGTGAGCTTTTCGCTGACATTAAAGAAGAACCAGCAGCTGCTGACACTGAAACTGAGACTGAGACATCAAGTGCAACATCAGAAATTAATCAATGAGATGATGATAGATCTGAATGGGAACGACTGGAGACATTAGACATTAAGGAAAACAAGGCATATGGTAAAAGTGATGCTGGAAAAGGTTCAAGCCAGAAAAGAGAGAAGACTTGTGCATGAGCATCAACTACTACTCCTATGTGAGAGTAGTATAAATGGAGACAAGAGAGACAGAGGTGAGCTGTATGAACATCCTGATGTTCTGCATCACTGTAGAGACAACTGAATCCGAATGATGTTTCGTTTTGGATCTGCAATCCCCACAAAGAATGACAGTTCAGAGTCTTCAATGCGAGTAAGCGAAAGATGTTGTCATTGAAGGCATTTGTGCAAGAGTATGGGAAACATTGGAAAGAGCACCGAAACCCATCCAGCGAGATAATATATACATTCCAGAATTGCAATTTAGCGCACGTACGTTGCCAGTTCAATATTTTCAGATGAAAGTTTCGTATTTTGAATTGAAGTTTTTGTAATTCAAAAAAAATAAAGTTTTAAGGTCACAGTCGAAAGTTTTGTATGGTTTGAGTTAAAAGTTGCACTGTTTGAGTTGAAAAATTCTTGTGAAAGTACAGGTGTATGTTAGAAACACATGTTCGGTAATTAGCAATCCATTTCTCTCTGATTATGGATTAATTCTTTGTACTTCCGTCTTGTAGTTATATTGTTTCTATGCTAGTTTTGTCATCCCCACCTATCTAACAAGTAGTGGCCACTATCTACCTTGTATGTGTCCATCATTGATGACCAACACTGTACTGGAATGAGAAGCTATGTTTGTTTCATGCACACCATACAACACACCGTTTATCCTACCATCATTGATCAGAGCTTGAGAGTGATGATTTAGTTTTAATCAGTCCATCTAATATAATTATGCTAGTATTAAGAAAAAGAAGGCCTCCCCTATTGTTTCCAGTAAAAAAGTAATAATAAAAATAAAAAGCAAAACCTATACATTCATGCATTCAGCTACCCCTAGAGGCCTTGTTTGATACTCCGTTTCATATTATAAATCATTTGACTTTTTTTAAGTCAAAACTCTTTAGATTTAACCAAGTTTATAAAAAAACTAGCAACATCTATAAGGCCATCCCCAACCCAGAAACTATCCAGTAGTTTCCATACTTACCATGTCATATAGATACTATGTATAGAAACTATATATCTAATGGATAGTATCTTCAAATTAAATTCTCATCTAATTATCTCCCTTCTCTCTCCTTTTATCCACCTATCCTTTTGTCTTCATTCTTAGTTAGATGGTTTTTTTCATGATAAATGGTTTCTTCGTACTTTTATCTCTCTCCTTATTAACTCTATTGCCACGTCAGATTTTTACTTATATGTTAATGTATTTAACAATAAATTAGTTTCATTAAATTTAACATTTAATATATTTTGATAATATATATTTTTTATTAAAATTGTTACTATAGTTTTTTTACAAACTTACCAAATTTAAAGAAGTTTGAAAAAAAAATCAAACGACATGTAATATTAAATGGATGGAGTAATGCCTAAACCTCGGCCCATTTATGGGATAGATGGACCGGGCCCAATGATCGGTAGGCCGCTGCAGCTGCAAGTGCAGCAGCAAGACAACCGGACGGCGGCGATGCAGCCGTCGGCGAGTTGGCTGGGTAACCCAAACTCCCAAAGTGTAGCGTGAGAGAATCAGAGAGAGTAACAGACGTTGGCTTTATCTTTTTTCTTTCTTTCTTTCTTTCTTTCTTCATTCTTTTTCTCCTTTTCCTTTTTCAATAAATCCAATCTGTTCCTTGGTTTGGAGGCTCAAGAAAGCATCATGCTTTGCGAAGACTGCTGCTGCGTGTGTCTTGAGCCTCAAGACGTCCTCTCCCAACACCATTAGCTGGCTGCCAAAGTGCCAAGTGATTGGGTGATGTGTGTATTAACCATATTTTCTTCAATGAAATGTAGCAATCACTATGGGCAACAATATGAGGCATGCTTTTACTCGCAAACCAAATAATCTCCAACGATATGAATTTTATCTTTGTTATAACAAAAGCACTAAAAATTGTGCTTACATTTGTGCATAGTGTTATATATTTAAGTATTTAATGCAACACTTGTAAAGTGATAGTAATAAAATATATGGAGTATAAAATTACAAATCATCTCTTCTAGGTAGTAGGAAAAATAGGGTCACTTCAGGAGTGGAGAAAAGCTTGACGGATGACCACAAAATCACAGAAATATCGCAATCACATGAAATGTGTTATGGACACTTATAATAGACATCGAAAATGACTTCTGAGAACAAAACAAATTGTAGAAAAGCAATGCTATGCACGACATCTATATATATACATCCCATTCAACATCGTGTGTGAGAGGTCATAATTGCGAGCCTAATTTTTCTATTAAATTTCACATCTTTTAACCAAATGTTTCAAATACTACTGTAACATTTGAATGTTGAGAATGACGTGTAATAAGTAGCCATCATATGAATGATTGCTCATGTACGACATAGGATAAACTCATCTAACATACGTCTAATTGTGATCGAAATAAACCCCATATACAATACGTATTTACCACTATTTATCTCTCCTAGAAATCACCATATTATTCACAGGCCACCATTTATAGATGTGCAAGCTAAACTCTCTCTCACCACCACCACCTCCGTCGTTCCCGCTTGTCCCTCCAGATGCGTTATTGTTTACATATTATTTTTCATCTCGTATGATGAATTTACTTTCACACTATTATATTTTTCTCACCCTTAATGACTTTATTGTAGAGATTGACAGTATGTAACCTTCTGCTCCCCTTTGTTTTCACCGTAGTCTAACAAGCTAGTGCCCAATATTGACAATCATAATTACCTCCTTCTAAGAAGAAGAAGATAATCGCATAAAACAACCATCAATACAATTTTAGAAGTATAAGTAACCGAGTAATCCTGACTAGGAGTTTGGTTTCGTGGTCTTATTGGTGGAAAACATCACACACCTCCTCTCTCTCTCTCTCTCGTATTTCTTTTAGTGTGTCTCACGTGTCTTTTGGGGTGACTCCCATGTATTCACTCTATTTATTCCGTGTAAGTTCATTTGATGTAATATATTTATGTGAGCAATTCATTCCTCGGTGATCCGTCTAAAAAATACTCCCTCCGTTTCAGGTTATAAGACTTTCTAGCATTGCCCACATTCATATAGATGTTAGTGAAACGGAGGAAGTATAACAACTGAATAATTTGGATGGTTCCTATTTATTTTTCGTGGGAGAAACGCATTCCACAATACCAATACCAACAACCAGTATACTTGTGTAGCCCTGTTCATGTGAGATGCAATGCATGCATACAGTATACGATACACCGGACGCCATCACCTGGCGACAACCCGCTCTCCCGGTGCACCGCACGTCTACCGCTGGTCGCAGGCGCCCACCCAACCCCAACCCTTCCCTTTGGTCCAGCCGCCCCTGCCCCGACCTCACCAATCCCCGCCTCGTAACGCTATCCCATCTCCTCCTCCTCCACCTCGCCTCTTCCGCCTCATCCACCACCACCTCCTCCCCCCCACCACCCGTCGCCACCCTTCGCCGCCGCCGCCGACGAGGACCACCACCACCACGACGGTGGAGTAGCCGCCCGCGAACACCGAGGCGGCAGGGGATCCATCATCCCACGACAACGACCATGGAGCTCGCCCTGGCCTCCGCGAAGCCCTCGCCCTCGCCCGCGCCCGCGCCCCTCCTCTTCGCGCCGCTCAAGCCCCTCCCCCTCCTCCGCTTCCCTCCCCGGAGACCCCGCGCCTCCTCTTCCTCCGTGGGGGCGAGGCTCCGCGCTGGGAGGCGCGGGCTGAGGCTGCTGTGCCGCGCGGCGGTGGGGGCGGGGGAGGAGGTGTTCGGGCCGAGGAGGGAGCTGGCGGGGGTGCAGCCGCTGGTGGAGGCGCTGCCGCCCGCGGCGAGGACGGCGGCGGAGCTGGCGGTGGCCGCGGCGGCGGTGGCGGCGGGGTACGGCATCGGGCTCCGCGCGGGTGGGGGGTCGAGGGCCGTGGCGGTCGCGGGCGCCGCGGTGCTCGGGGCGGCCAGCGTCGCCGGGGCCGCCGCGGTGAACTCCGTCGTGCCGGAGGTCGCCGCCGTCGGGCTGCACAACTACGTCGCCGGATGCGACGACCCCACCAAGCTGGAGAGCGGCGAGGTGGAGGCCCTCGCGACCAAGTGAGTCGTCTCGATTGCTCGACTATATTGTAGGTGTGCTGCATTGGCCGTATGGCCCGTATGCTCGATTCGATTATATATCAGATGTCTTGACTCCCACCCTGCAATGTGATCTGTATTTTCCTTCCAATTTATGCGCCCTCCTAGCATTTACTCATTTATTTTTGAAGCTCCCATTTGTTTTCGGAATGCTAGTAAAATTTTGGTGTAGCTTGTTTCAGCGAATAAGGAACCTATAATTATTTCGATAATACATTTGATCGGCTAAAATTACCTTTAGGGATGGGACATATAGTTATATTTTTGCACTAAAATGTTTAAGGAAAAGGCTATACGTACTACATTTTTCTTATTAAACTCTCTTTACACTAATGTGTCATGTTATGAGTTCATCTACATTTCCTATAACTCCTATCTAGTTAAATCAAACAGCTGATATCATTTTGTGTAAGAATTTTTAAGTATGTGCAGCAGTGCTCAATGTAACATTGCCCCCACCCACACACACAGAAGCAAAAAGTCTTACCTGTTTATTTTGTTTCAGATATGGAGTTAGTACACAGGACGCAGCCTTCAAAGCAGAGCTCTGTGATTTGTATGCCAGGTGATCCTCTTGGCACCTGTTGTCCAGTTGTTTCCAATGCTTTATTTGAATGTTGGTAAAGAATGTCCATACGGAAATGGCCTCTAAGCCTAACTGTATTTATGACACTAATTCTGTTGTGTTCTATGTGTTGAATTTGGCTCAAGTGCCCTTATTATAGCTATTGTTTTCTCCTAGACACAAGTATTTGTTCTTGGATGTTTCCCCTCTCTTCTCTTAATATTCACCCGTCCCAAAGTATGGTGTTATTTTGCAGTTTTTAGTTGTCGATATGCAATTTGAGCTTCAACCATTACATCCAGTAATTTATATTATTATATACCTTGAAATATACAAAGAACAGCTAAAATATTACGTAAAATAATATTTACTAATATCATTTTTATTGCCAATCTATCAATGCGGACATCTCGATATATATATATATATATATATATATATATATATATATATATATATATAGTAAATTTGTTTGGTGCTCCATGGTGCCCGGGCACCATTGTTGAAATTGAGTATATACCCAATTCAAATGAGTATGAAACTTTTTCAATTACTTAGGTATTAACATTAACTACTTTACTAACTAGTTCAAAGCATGTTTGTACTGAATTTGAACTTGTTTTTGTTAGATTTTGATTCTAGGTATATAGCATCCATACATATAATTAGTTAGGTATGTAATCATGGATTGTGAAATAAAGTTAAATTTGAGTTGTTTTGTTGATAGGTATAGATATGAATCGAATTATTATAACTAGGTATATACTCACAATTTGAAAATTTTGAAAAATTTGAGTGATTTTGTACATTAGATACCATGGTGCCCGGGCACCATGGTGCCCCATATGAGTGTCCTATATATAGTATATATATATATTTTGTTCCAATCACATTTCACATACCACAGTTTTGTATGTATGTGCTCAGACGTAGTTGCTTCTTTTGGCAAGCTCTTGTACATTACTCAGTAGCTAAACTAGATTCTTCTAAAATCAATCTTTAAAAATCTACCATTTATTGGTTGCATCTTATTGTTTTGGTCATGCAGTGTATATAGGAAGTGTCTTTGCTCCATCTTACCTCCATTTTATTTCCAGGTTTCTTTACTCAGTACTTCCTCCAGGAGATGAAGATCTCAAAGGTGATGAGGTTCAGACCATTATAAAATTTAAAAATGCTCTTGGGCTCGATGATGTAGATGCTGCAAATATGCACATGGAGGTATTGCCTCATGATCCAAGCCCCTTTATATCTTACTTGCCTGAGACGTTCTTCCTACTTTAGTGCCATTTTCACATTTCCTCCATTACTCCTTATGCCTTCGACTTTGCTTGTATAGATTGGTAGGCGCATATACAGAGAAAGGCTGGAAACAAGGGACCGGGATGCCGACATGGAACAGCGGCGGGTACGTTTTTGTGCTGTGATACATAAATGGATGTTTAAAACTTTCTACTGCCCCTGATGATAACTATTGTAAATATTTTGCAGGCATTTCAAAAACTCATATATGTATCAAATCTTGTCTTTGGGGATGCATCAACATTCCTGCTTCCATGGAAACGTCTTTTTGGGGTCACTGATTCTCAGGTATTTTATTATGAAATAGTCATCACCCATTTAAACTGTGCATAGCATGTCGGCATTTTCTGATTTCACCCCATGGAGAAAGCAGATGGCAACCTTAGACAATATTCTAATTATTTGTGTTGATTTTGAATTTTAGATGCACCACTTCCCTAACATAACATTATTGCAACTGTGACTACGAAGGATCTCTAGTGTGCTGTACAACCTCTTTGCATTGTTTTGTGCAGTTCTAGATGCAATGGTTGGGCTAGTTGGCTTGCCTGTATTTTTACACTAGATGCAATGGTTGGGCTAGTTGGTTTGCCTGTATTCATTATAATGGATTGCAAATTTCATGCTCTAGTTATAGAGTACTGAAAAAAAAAGGCAGGTTGTACATGTCATATCAAATTGACATTCCTTTTTCCCCTAGCATGGTCAACATGCATAATTTTTACTAGCATGGGTATCATAGAGTCTCAGACTGGAGTGTTGTTGAAATTAAAGACCTTTTCTGTTGATAGGGTTGAGGATGCGGATTGCCTACAAGCTCTAGTGCATTCACATATCTCGTCTATCTTAGGACATATTTCAGAAATTGAACTGCTTGTTTAAGCCTTATTACTTGTGCTCATAGCTTCTTTGTTTTCGTTCCTTTTTATTTGGTGATATTGTTTGGTGACACTACCATGTTCTTCTTGCAGATTGATATTGCTATGCGGGAAAATGCCAAAATCTTATATGCATCACAACTCAAGTCTATTGGGAGAGGTATCACTGAAATGCATATCTTTGTATTTGTAGGCACCCCACATCCGTATTTGTTATGCTTACAAGCTTCAGTGTAATTATGTCAGATTAGAGACTTAGGGCAGTGCATATAGTGATGCTATCTTATTTTTTGATACACTAATTACTTGATCGGCCTTATTGCATTTGTACAACATTTTTAATTTTGACATTCTGTTTTCTCTAGGTCTTGACATAGGCACGCTTATCGAAGTAAGGAGAGCACAACTTGCATACAAACTTTCTGATGAGGTACTGTTTTTTCTTTCTCGCAATTCTTCTACTTCATTTGGTCTTACATCTTAATATAAATACCTGGGGAAATTACTTAGCTAAGCATGCATGGCTGCTCAGAGTCGTGTACTGGAGACTAGACAAGTTACTGTATTTTGTTTGTGGACATAAATCTCAGTATGCCAGGATAAGAAATGTGGTATCAATCTAAGCATTATATGTTACTAAATAGCATATTGTAATGTTTAAATTCCTTCAGATTGCTGCTGAGATGTTCAAGGAGCATGCAAAGAAGTTGGTTCAAGAAAACATTTCGTCAGCTTTGGACATCGTAAAGTCGCGTACCAAAGCAGCGTAAGGAATCTACACCTCTATGGTGAATTGTCTAAGCCTACGGATTGATTGCCGTTGACAGTTGACATAAGAGCCTGAGCTAACACCTATTTCCTCTTTTCCCAAATACATTTTGTTTCAAACTTTGTTTCATATACATGTTGCAGCTTTAAATTGAACTTTTTACCCATTTTCCCTTAGGTTGATTGATAAGTATTATGTACTTACAAATTTACAGTTTATTATTTCATGGCATGAATGGATTTTTACCTCACTCCTAAACTATATGATTACAGGAATAGCCCAACACAGGTTATTGAAGATGTGAAGAGCATCCTTGCTTTTAATAGCTTGCTCATAACACTAAGCAAACACCCTGATCAAGATAGATTTATTCGTGGTCTTGGACCTATTTCGTTAGGTACGGTGATATATCTTTTTGAAATCATATGTTAATCAGGTAGGACTTTCTCTTAAGGCTGGTCGTTGTGCTTTTCTTGTATAGGTGGAGAGAGTGATCATGATAGGAGGGCTGATGATCTCAAGCTACTATATAGGGCCTATGCAACAGAAGTACTATCAGATGGACATCTGGATGATGAGAAGGTGATTCCATGCATCCTCTTGTTATAATCCCACTTTATTGCTAAACATCTTGATGTAAGTACACCGGTGCTGCTTTGGAATGCTGCCAATCAATGGTGGCAAACCTAACTCATTTAACTCTGCAGTCTAGATCCTGTACCTTGTACTGTTATTCCTGATGCCACTGGAACTGCTGTTTACGGCAGTACTTATAAATGGTGTTTTAGTTGGAACATAACATATCCTGAATGCACGAAAAACAGTCTGCCACCTGTTGTTAAAAACTAGGAGAAGATTAATTGTGCATCTATTTAGTGTATCAAGATCTTAGCAAAAGCCAGTATTGTTAACCCTTGAAAAGCAGAGCAAGAAGCTGATCCGAGACAATCTGGTTCTTGCCATAACCGAAGTGTCATTTGGAAAAAGCATAATAAACCATTCTTATTGCCAGATGACAGTTGTGAATTATGTAACATTGGTTCAGTGTCTTCAATCTACATGGACACTACTCTCCTGTATCGTCAACTTGGTTCAGATCACTTCTTGAAAATTGTTGGTCTAAGTACTCAACAAAAATTCTCATGGTGAGACTGATTAACTATACCCAGTTGGTTGTGTAATAACATGTGCTACCTCTATCCCAAAATACAAGGAGTTTTAGGGTTGGACATGGGTATTAAGAAAGTTGGTGAAATTAGTTGGAGAAGTTGTTATATTTTGGGACAAATTTTGAAGGCTAGAAGTTATATTTTGGGTTGGAGGTGTTCCATTATTGTTCTGTAAATGGTACTAGCAAGTACTCCCTCCATATTTTAATGTATGACACCGTTGACTTTTTAACCAACGTTTGACCACTCGTCTTATTCAAAAATTTTATGCAAATATAAAAATACTTATGTCATGCTTAAAGAACATTTGATGATAAATCAAGTCACAATACAATAAATTATAATTACATAATTTTTTTAAATAAGACGAAAGGTCAAATGTTTGTCAAAAAGTCAACGGCGTCATACATTAAAATATGGAGAGAGTATATCCTTGCTGTTCAAATTTGGTTGTTATTAGTTCATCTTATATTTGGTGCATGGATTATGACCCCTGAATCTAAGTTTATAAGGTATCAAGATAGCATCTTAATAGAAGCCTTTTAATCTGATTACAATAATTCAGCTCGCTCCTTTGAATCAACTGAGGAATATATTTGGACTGGGCAAGCGTGAAGCAGAATCAATCATGTCAGATGTCAAAGCTCAAGTATACAGAAAGAGACTTGCTAAATCATTTAATAGTGAGTTGGCTGCGGCCCCTAGCAAAGCAGCATTCCTCCAAAATATCTGTGAAGAGTTACAGTTTGATCCGGAACTTGCTAGTAAGATGCATGAAGGTACCTTCTTGACACCTTCTCTTGTTACACTATAATTTTCACAGCATACCTGTGCTTAGCTCGACTGCCTAGTCATTTATTGAACGGAGAACTGGTTTTCACCTGATGGCTCTGTGCAGAAAATCACTATACACCATCAGCTCTATGTTGACACTGCTGAATTGTTATCCTAGACCGTATGTAGGAAGTACATCTGTAGCAATTCAGTTGTCTGCATTTTGGTTCATCTGGGCTGTATTGCTTCTCATGATTAGGAATGGATATCCAATAGAAAAGAAATAAGACAAATGTGGTGGGACTAGAAGTACTATTTGTCTCTATGTTCATGTTAAACAGCATTACTATTTGTAAGATAAGATATTCCTCACCATTCCATCTTAAGGTACATCATCACATGCTTTAATAAAGCATCAAAGTCCCAGAAATGCTATCGACAAGTGTGAGTTCCAAGAAATGCCATCCTACAAATGATTTTGTCCCAAAAATGCCATCGCCGTTAGGGTTCTGTTCCATTCTGCGCTGTAAAATACACTGTTCGTCCTATAGAACTTAATGGCGCGGAATGGACGGAACCCTAACGGCGATGGCATTTTTGGGACAAAGTCATTTGTACGATGGCATTTCTTGGAACTCACACTTGTTGATGGCATTTCTGGGATTTGGATGCTTGTCAATGGCATTTCTTGGATTATCTCTATTAAATATTAGTTGGCAAACATGCTTTTTTCGAGATGTTCTCTCCTGGTTGCTTTCCTTGATATATTGTTAATACCCACTCATATTATGCTCCTTCGAACTCCAGACATTTACAGGCAGAAGCTTCAGCAGTTTGTAGCGGATGGAGAGCTGAACAAGGACGAAGTGGAAGCTTTGATGGCATTCCAAGTGCGTCTCTGCATTCCACAAGAAACTGTTGATGCTGTCCATTCAGAAATCTGTGGCAAGTTGTTTGAAAAGGTGATATGAAATATTCTATGTTGCCTGTTCTATATTTCCCTTGTTCAGGCAAAGTTGATGGCCTGTTCTGTGTTAGTGGTGTTCTTACAACCGTTAGTGCTTTGCAGGTTGTCGTGGAAGCAATTTCATCTGTTGATGGATATGACACTAATAGACGACAGGCTGTTAAGAAGGCAGCACAAGGTCTGAATTTGAAAAACGAGTCTGTCATGGCCATTTTCAGCAAAGTGGTATGTTAATCCCCATTACCAAAAAAAAGTGCTAGATGATATTATTTTTCAATATATTCCTACTGTGAATGAAATTCACTTCTATATTACCAAATCCATGACCAGGTACGGAAGTTATTCCTGAACTACATTCAGAGAGCAAAAGCAGCTGGGAACCGCATTGAAACTGCAAAAGAGCTGAAAAAGATGATATCCTTCAACACAGTAGTTGTGAGTGAGCTTTTAGCTGACATTAAAGGAGAACCAACAACTGCTGAACCTCAAACATCAGATGCAACCTCAGAACCTGAAGTCAGCGAGTCTGAGGGGGATGATGAATACGAATGGGAACAGCTGGAGACATTAAGGAAAACTAGGCCTGATAAAGAGCTCAGAGAGAAACTGGCAAAGTCAAGCCAGAAAGAGATAACCCTCAAAGATGACATTCCATTGAGAGACAGAGCTGAGCTGTATGAAACATATTTGGTGTTCTGTGTCACTGGGGAGACGACCAATGTTTCATTTGGAACAGCAATCTCCACAAAGAAAGATAATTCAGAGTATTTAATGCTGAAGCAATTAGGAGACATACTTGGTTTAACCCGCAAGGAAGCTCAGAATGTTCACATTAAGATGGCAGAAAAGGCATTTGTGCAACAGGCTGAAGTGATTCTTGCTGATGGGAAGTTAACAGAGGCCAAGGCTGACCAGCTTGCAAAGATACAGAAGCAAGTTGGTCTTCCTACTGAGTATGCACAGAAAATAATCAAGAATATCACAACAACAAAGTTGTCTTCTGCAATTGAAGCCTCTATTTCTCGAGGACAGATTGGTATACAGCAGGTCCGAGGATTGAAAGAAGCAAATTTTCAATTGGACAGCTTGATTGCAGAACCACTTCGAGAAAACATTTACAAAAAATCCGTTGAGGAGATCTTTTCGTCAGGCACAGGTGAATTTGATGAAGAGGAAGTGTATGTAAAGATCCCAGCTGATCTCATCATTAATGCTGAGAAGGCCAAGTCGATTGTCCAGGACATTGCGAAGATTAGGTTGGATAACGCCCTTGTCCAAGCTGTTGCTCTGCTTCGGCAGAAGAAGAAAGATGAAGTGGTACGTAAGGAATATCCCTGCATATCTCCTACTTATTTGTTTTATGTTGGAACTTAGTTTCTCCAAGAATCTGAAAGATTAAAACACTGACTACAGTTATCAAAGTACTGATTTAGCGTTGACTTTGATCTTGGTGTATATCAGGATTAACCTATTCTTGATAACTGGCACGTCATAATGACAAAAGAAATTCAACTAGAGTATAAATAGGAAAGTTACAATAACTGCACTGTTAGAATTACTCAGCGTTCTAATTTTTACTTGGAATATATTGCCAATGCAGGTCGCATCCTTGAACGACTTGCTTGCATGCGACGCGGCTGTGCCTGCTTCGAAGCCCCTATCATGGCCTACATCAGGAGAGCTGGATGATCTGTACGGCATTTACATGAAGAGCATTCCGAAGCCTGAAAAGCTGTCAAGGTTGCAGTATCTGCTTGGCATAAGCGACGAGAAGGCCGGCCAGATTCGGGATGCCGCATCGGCAGGCACACTATCCGTTGCAACTGAAGAGGAGGATGAATTGGTATTCTAGGGAGGGAGATGTGAAGGTCTTTTTTTGTTAGGTAGCCAGCAGAGTTGAGGACCTACCATACTTGGTGCTGTGGCGCCAACCGCTGCTATTGTAGCTAGGCGCTGGCATATGGTTTTGAGAAGCAACGCATAATCCTGACGTGCGTTAACTGTTTGTATAGACAGAAATTGGCACCGAATTTGGTGACAAATCTCTTTTGCTGCATTTTTCATTTTCAGACCATAGCGAGAGCTTTTTTTTTTGTATTTTTTTTCTTCCCCTTTTCATTATGTATCACAGTCGCCACTGCTACCTCAGTCATAAAATCCGATTTTGTTGTAGCTCAACTGCAGCATATGATATGTGTCCCTTTGTATGGGTCATTGTAGCCAATATGTTTCAGCAATTTTTCTTTCAGTTTACATTATCAAACTGAGTGTGTACACCACACACCAAATGCTATGCGATGGGATTTCAAATTCCAATTCCTCAGGTTATGGATGGAACTTTCTCCTTTTATGACTTCAAAAATAAACGCGGCCACTTTGGGAAAAAAAAAACGGGGTGGGGGTGGGCGATTATGGATGAAAATTTTTCCTTTTATGACTGTAAAGTGAATGTACTCTGCCAGTTTGGTAACAAAAAAAAAAGGTATTCGGCCAGCATGTAACAGCATTGCAAACAGTTCTATACAACAAAATCATGATACAAGACCAGCATTCTCTCCAGAAACATCCATTGAATCAATGTAAACATTTTAGCCACATACAACAAGGGAGTCAAAGCTGTTGTTCTGTACAAGGGAGCCTAATAAGCTGAAGCCAGCAGGTCGAACCGCCCAGCAAGGTTAACCTCCTGTTCTACACATTATCGGGCCAAAATTCCCTGAAGAAAGCCATTTCAAATTCCCTCTCTTGTAACCGCTTCTCTTCTTCTTGCATCTTCCGTATCCTCTTCGCGGCCAACTTGGCCTTCTTCTTCGGTGCTTCCAGCTGACAAGGGCAACACGTTTGAATCAGTTAGTTAGAATCCCATCAGTAAGTGTGATTTACTAAAAGTAGCTTGTTGAAGATGAACAAATACATATCAAAGCAGCAGTATTAGCTACCAAATGAGACAAGTATTATAATGCATAAAGAATAACTGGTACCAATACAATTAGTAACGATGCAAGTAACCACGTTTATCTGTAAAGTCTGAAACCTTTTTACTGAACTACACTATAGAGCAGTCATCAGTATTTTTCAATAAAAAAGGCTATTAAGTAGAACTAATGATAATAGTGAACTATTAATACAATGCTCGGAATGAGAATTACAAGGAAGCCAAAGAAAGTAATTAGGTATTGTATGCGGGTATCATGAATAAACTGGATATCCTTTGCTCACCTTGGGTTTTTTAGGGTCTTTTTCACCATCCTCGTCAACCTTTGGCTTTAGCTTTGGTTCCTTGGAACCCAAACCACGCTTGTTATTCTTCACACGACTTTCTACAGGCTCCAATCTTCCCTGTTCCAGGATTAAATTGGGCTAAGTGAGTATGAAAACAAAAACACAGCATAAAAGGCAAATCTAACCCATAAACTGGCTTCATCCAAGTGACATGCAAACATAGTATGTAACACATATATGACTACTAAACATCAGCTCTTAATTAATACCTATGAACATGCGAGATAATCATTCCGGTCAAAATGATATATAATTTCAGATCCTACTAAACATTTGGAGTTAACAGCCAACTAAGGTAAGCTACCTGCCTACTTGGTTCGGAAACAAATTTTGGCTTTACCATTCCTCCAGAGACCACTAACCATTATCCAGAAACTAAACATATATCTTACGTTGATCTACACATTTTTTTGAGCTTTCAACAGTTCAACTTGCAGTAGCCTTGTCTCAACATTTAACTCTACGCACCATTAACAACTACGGCCCGTTTGGTTGGAGGGAGTTTTAAAGAGGGATTGAGAGTTTAGAGGGATGAGGCTATTAAGTGTTTTGTTTGGTTGGGAGACATGGGAATTTTGGTGGGATTGGGATGGAGAATTGAGGAAGAAACTCCCTCCTTTTCAATACCTGGGTAGGGGCAGGTAATTGGGAGGGAATTCCTCGTTTACTTGGTCTAAGCAAATCTCAGCCATCCGTTTTTATTAATGAGCTAATCTCCAACTAAACTCCCTATCAATTTCCATCACATCTACCAAACAAGACATTGGGATTAAAAATCAAATTCCCATCTTAATCTCATCGTAAATTCTCTCGTGTAAACTCCCAATCCCCTTCCCTCGAGTTACCAAACAAGCCGAGGGAAAACAAAATCACATGCACGATGAACAGAATTAAGCATCAAAGTGCAAAACCCCAAAATATAACTACAATTGGGGTAAATGGACACACACACACACACACACACAAAAGATTTCCGGTGACGCAAGAACAGAGGCGCAAACCTGCTCTTGCGCGCCGAGGCCGGTGCCCTCCTTCCAGCCCGATTTCTTCAGCAGCTGCAGCAGCAACAAGATCACTTAAGATTAGCTCCGGATTCAGGACACGACACGAGACGCACGCACCGAGATGCAGAGGACCAAATCGAACAAAGCATCAAACCCTAGCCCCACCCACCCACCCACTCCCATGGCCATGGGATTCGAACGGACGGAAGCCCAGGTGGGATGGAGAGCTTCGCGCACCTGGAACCCGACGTTGGAGGAGCCGATCGCCGCCATCGCCGCCTCCTCTCCTCTCCCCTCCTCGCCGCCGCGCCGCCTCCCCTCCTCTCCCCTCCTCGCCTCGTGTTCGCAACCGCGACGCGTGCGGCCTCGAAGGCTCGAACCAAATTGGGCCGGGCCTTGTGGTCTCCGGGTCGGTTTCGAACCGGACTCTACTCGATCACCACCGTCCGATTATTCAGATCGGACGGACCACCCCTTCCCACGTCGACGAGCCTCGCCTATACTTGTCGTTCCCAACGAGTCCGCCACGCAGCTGAGACCAACACAACCTAGGGCACACGCCACACGATCTCGCGGAACCCCGGCGGCCGGCGATGTCGACGGTGATGACGCAGATATTTGTGAAAGGGCTGACAGGGAAGACGACGGCTCTGAGGATGGAGCCGTCGGATACGGTGGAGAGCGTGAAGGTGAAGCTCGTGGACAAGGAGGGGCTTCCGCCAGACCAGCAGCCGCTCATCTTCCAGGGGCATCAGCTGGACGACGGCCACACGCTAATCTACTATGGTATTCAGGAGGAGTCGACGCTGCACCTCCTCGGTCGCATCTGTGGTGGCGGCGGCGGCAACAAGAAGCGAAAGAAGAAGGCGTACGCGACACCTAAGAAGGGAAAGCATGAGCACCGCAAGGAAGAGCTTGCGGTGCTCCGTCACTATCGTGTCGATGACGTGATGGGGAAGGTGGAGAGGCTACGACTGATGTGTCCTAACCCAGAGTGCAAAGACGTTGGCGCACTTATGGCGAAGCACCACGACTGACTCACCTGCGGCAAGTGTGGACTTACCTGATGAACTGAAAAGTGGAGAGGAGATGTTTTAAAAGTTGATACCTAGAAATGATAAATCCTCAATTTTAATTTAATTGAATTTTAGCCAGAGGATATGAAATAAAATTAGTACTTCAAAAGATCGTGTGAGAGACGGATATTATTTAACGTTTTCTTTTATCGTTTGAATTGGTTAATTAGTTGCTGATATTTTAATTTGGTCGCGTCTTGATCTTTGCTTGTCTTGAACTGTGTTGGTCTTAGCACTGCACTGGAAAATTCTCCCATGAATTAGTGTTATGGCTATTTGAATTTCTATACTTCTATACATATAATTATTTTGGTTGAAAATATCTGACTATTGACATTTTATTCTTTTTACCGTCTTTAAGGTGTGCTTACTACTATACTTATTAATTAGTTACGCTAATCAAGTTTCCAGATATTCCAGTTATTCCTAGTTTACCTAGGACACGTTTTCAGCCTGCAAATGGATAGAGAGCACTATCCTCAACACAAGATTTTACACAACAGTATACATACGTAGATTAAGACGCATACGAGGAGTATATATATGAAATAAAAATACTACCACAATAAATCTATACTTTCTATATAGTTGGTATCCACTAACAATTATTAATTATTAGAAGCCAAAGCTCAACATGCAAACATACCACATCATCACCCACTAACAATTACTATTCTAGCTCATTTAAAATCCCATAAAAGCATGTCACATCTTCACTCACGAGTAATTACTATTATAGCCTATTTTAAATCCCCATACAAGCATGACACATCATCAACAAGTATGTGTCAAACCATCTTCCTCATATTATTTTTTTAACATTTTAACTTTCATCATTTCGATAATATTTAATATATACTCATCTATAAATCTCACAACAAAGTGCGAGGTATCATCTAGTTAATTATATGCATATATCCAAGTCTACTGTACAGAAGGTGCGTACCGTTGTTGTGCTGCTGCAGTGCAAGTAAGAATTAGGATGTGCCATGGTTGAATTCATAGCATGGAAAACATTTTACTATCGGTTTACCATATAAATCTTTTAGATAATGAAGAGCTTTATTTTAGTAGCATAATGCTCGTACATTGCAATAAAAATAAATATAAAAGCAAACCGAATTTTGGGTTCGCTAGTAGGTACACGTACAAAATTTACATAGTTATGCGTCAGACCCATATATCGCACACACATGATAACTTACAGGTTGCATCTTATTGATAAAATCGTTTATTAAAATTGTAGCTTTGTGAAATACCTGTCTTTTAGTATACTAATAGTTCGAATCATTTTATTGAAATTTATGAAAAACAAAACAAGAAAACAGAGGGTTCCAGAGACGTTGGTGCAAATCTCTGAATTCGACCGAGCAACACACTGCTCAGGCTTGTACCACCTGTCACATAGCACTAGCAGCAAGTTGTAATCACCCCAGAGAAAAAAAAGGTAAAAAGAAAAAAAAGAAAAGAAAAAGGGAAGAACAAGAAAATTTCTTCGCAACTCCAGCGTGTCCAGCGCTTTTGGACTTGTTCGCACTAGCCCGAAACAAATGGAGACTGCTACGGATCGGACGTCCGATTTGATGCAAATTATTGGACGGTGTTGTACCGTATTGTTGAAGAATGTTTCACATGTTTCACCTCTCGATAAAAATTGTCTCAGATGTTTCACTACCAGATAAAAATGTTTCAACACTTGAGTAAAATTGTTTCAACCAAATGCAATAGTAAAACATACTGATTGCAACACCTTAATACAATGTACGCAAAATTGAGTCAAAATAGAATGAAACAACTTGATAGAACAAAGTGCAACCAAAAAAACAAATAAACTGTAACATCACTAAAATTCCTAACAAAACCCACCTCTGTCTTCTATTCCGGTCACCGAAATCAAGCGGCCAACACGGCGAGACAAGTGAGGTGTGGTGATGGTGTAGACGAGGACAAGCAAGCAGCCATGTCGAAAGGGCGACCTCGCCAAGGCCAGTCGCATCGGCATCCGGTCCAACGCCTCCTTCGCATCGTGGGCTCGTGGCTGCTCCACCAGTGGTGCCTCATTTGGTCCTCCCTTTCGGGTCGGCCTGCTCTGCCTCCGCCGGTGTCCTCCTCCCTCTTCACGCTGCACCGTCAGCAAGGTCGCCGGCGTCCTCCCCCCTCTACACGTCGCGCCGTCAACGAGGTGCAGAGCGTCCGCCTCCTTCTCCATGTTGCGCCGCCCCATCACCGCCAGCGTGGTCACCGTCATCCTCCTCCCTTTTCACGTTGTCGTTGGTGTCCTCCTACCTTGCCGCTACGGTGTTGATGGGGGAGAGAGAGAACAAGTGGCTGAGAATTTGAGATAGGGATAAGTTTGATGAGAAAAAGGTACGTAGAAGAGTGGTTAGGTGGGACCCACTCGGTGGTGGCGTCCGATTTTTTATCGCGTATCGAACGCTCGAGTCAAAGCATTCCTGAAACAAGTAGATGTATTTTTGGATTCATCGCCGGAATCGCCACAGAATGTATCCCAAACTATTTTGGGATTCGTATGAATTTGTATCCGGGTTGTGCTTTTGCCGTCGTGTCATACCCTTTTTATACGTCGTTCCCGGCGCAGCCGTGCAACACCAACTCGGTCGATCTCGACGAAACTGCGGTGGCAGCCGCCAATTCCAGGGGAAGAGGATGCAGCTCCTCGTGGAGCTGATCAGGGGGGGAGGTGGGAGGGGGGTACGTTGACACTGGAAGTGGAGCTGATGAACCCTGAGTTCCACTCGACACTCAAGGCTGTTGTTGGCCCGATCTTTCAGTGAGTTGAGATAACTACGATTTGAGAGAAACGTTGACGACCCGACTACAACCGTACAAGACGTTGTGTTGCGCCTTAGCGATCGATACACCTCTCCGTTGGTTGTTGATCTTGCCGATGCAGATCAACCTTGTTCCTGCAAGCAAATCGAAGAAACAAGCAAGAACAAGATAAAAGCAATCTGAATTACAAATAGGAATTGAGCATAAATGATAAGTTGGGGTTCCGATTACAAGCAGACGGACGGTCTAGCCCACATGCGCGCTGCAAGGAAGTAGCAATAGCTAAACTTTCATCTAAACAAAACCCGAAAAACCCTGAAGGGGTACCTAACTATTTATAGAGGTAGGAGGACGACCAAGATTGTCCAAGGGTCGTGCTTCACCAGATTGGGATGCATCCCACATGGGCCTCACTTGGGCCGGGATCCCAGACGAGGTTACAAGCCCATAGGCCCATTACAGGTGACGCAACACTTTGCTTCTGTGATTATGGCCAAACGAGATGGAATTCCGAGATGAGGTTGGATCCGTTGGAAAGAAGACTTCGAGAGCTTTCCATCAAGTACTCACGGGCCCAAAACGGAGCACGTATGTAGATTTGGCGGCCGTTTGAAGTCAGCAATGTAGCACGTGGCCGAATCAGATTGCAACACATGGAGGACTTGATCTTGATGTCTTCTTGTTAATTCATGATGTGAGCAACGGTTGTATCTATAATAGCCATGGTCACATCAGGAGCCGTCGGACACGGTGGAGAGCGTGAAAGCAAAGATCAAGGATATGTCGGGGATCACGGAGGACTTCTGGTTGAGATACGATGGGAAGCAGATGGATGAGGTCGGCAGTCGCACGCTGGCCGATTACGGCATCCATGATCCTGCTACAGAGATGGAGATCTTCGTGAGGGGGCTGATGGGGAATACTAGGACGCTGTGGGTGAAGCCGTCGGACACGGTTAAGAGCGTGAAGGTGAAGCTCTAGGAGAAGGAAAAGATGTTGCCGTGCTAGCAACGGTTGATCTTCCAGGGGTGGCAGCTGAAGGACGGTGACACGCTGGCCTCCTGCGGCATTTGGAAATACTCGAACATGAACCTCTGCTATCACTTCGCTGACAGTTGTGATTGCATCTGCGCACACATCGAGACACAAAGACTAATTCAAAAGCATCAAACCCTAGCTCAATTACATTCCACGCAGCCTGCTACTGAGATGCAGATCTACGTGAAAGTGTGTTGATGAGGAGTACAGTGACACTGAGAGTGAAGCTAAGAATGGAGCCGTTGGACACGGTGGATCGGTCGGGTGACTATTCCATAAGTTGATGTCTTTAGTGAAACATTTCATGAAACCGCAACAATAGTAAATGGTTTTTATCACAAAAGTGCAACTTCATACACTTGATGAATTTTAGGCCCGTTAGTCAACTCTGGCACGCGCAAAACTCACGTCGTTACGTGTCGGACCCACATGTCACATGCATGGTGAGTTAAAGGTCACAGTTAAATCGTTTGCTAAAGTCGTAGCTTTTCCCAACTAAAGTTGCCGTGAAGAAAAACAAAACAAAACAGAGGGTTGCAGAGATGCTAGGACAAATCTGGATTCGACCGAGCCATAGGGGTGGGCGTTCGGTCAGACTAAAAAATTCCCTTTGGTTTCTCGGGTAATTCAGTCTTTGGAAAGTCAGGACCGAATTTCATAAAAAAAACTCAGGACTGGCAAATTCGGTCTTGGACTCGGTCTAACCGAAATTTCAGGAGAATGAAAAATTTTGACAGCACTTCCCTCTTTTTAGAAATTTTTCACAGACATATATATCACAAAAATACCAAACAATAGGCAACATCAAGCACCAAATTATCACAGGATAGATCTCAAGTCTGAACCTCACAAGTCACAACAGCCACAGACCCACGGTACAAGGCGGAGGCGGGATGGAGGCGCAGAGGTGGGATGGAGGCGGAGGGCGGAGGCGGCGGCGGCGGTGCTGGCGCTGGAGGCGAAGGGCAGAGGCGACGTCGAGGCGGAGGCGGCGCCGGTGCTGGAGGCGGAGGGCGGAGGCGGCGCGATGCAGGCGAAGGCGGAGGCGTGGAGGCGACGCGATGGATGCGAGGCAGTGAGGGGCTGAGCCGCTGAGAGACCTGAGAGCGACTTTACTCGGTTGCTCCCTCTAGGGTTTGTTCTATTTAGTGGGCTTATTAGGCCTCGTACACCTGTTAGGCCAAATTTCAGTTTTTTGGGGTAATTCGGTTAACGGAAGCCTATGACCGAATTACCCGAAAAAAATTCGGTCTTTTGATGGCTGATATCGAATCACTAACCGAATTTCTCGGTCTCGGTCTCGGTCTTTTCGGTCCAGTTCTTCGGTTCGGTCTTATTTTGCCCACCCCTACCAAGCCACATTGCTTCGATCCGGCTTGTACCACCTGTCACGTAGCACTAAGCACTAAGCAGGTAGTAACGAACCCAAAATAAAGTGTGTTATGGAAATAGATGTGCAGCGGAGACACGAATTTTTACGTGGAAAACCCTTTTGGGAAAAAACCACGGGCGCCAACCAACAATAATTACTATTGAGGAGTTGGATACAAACGCAGAGATACATTGGGCTATCGTACCCTCCTAGTGCGGCTTACGAGGGATATACACAGGAGAAAACTAGGAGTCGTCGTGAATAAAGACTAAGAGTTATACTAGAAAACTAATCTAATAGTCAGGTTCTATTAGAATACTATAATCCAAATATATTGTGAACCCAAAATTCAAATCACATATTTAAAAGGGAAGAAAAACATAAACAAAAAGGGAATATGAAAAGAAAATTTCTTGGCAACTCCAACGTGTCCAGCGCCTCTGGACTCGTATATATGTATGTTGGGATTCATCGCCGCAGAATATATCCCAAATATATTTTGAGATTCATATCCGAACCTACTTTTGCCGTCGTGACTGGTTCGAACTCCAACACCAGAACCGTTCTGACCTAAGCCTGCCCTGCCCTTTATATTATTTATATACACGTCGTTCCGGCAAGTCACGCAGCCGCGCAACAACCAGAGCAACACCAGCTCGATCGTGACCTGGACGAAACTGTGGTGGCCGGCGGCGACGATTAATTCCAGGGGGAAGAGGATGCAGATCCCCGTGGACCTGATCACGGGGGCCACGTTGACGCTGGAAGTGGAGCCGTCGGACACGGTGGAGAGCGTGAAGGCGAAGATCAAGGCCATGTCGGGGATCACTGAGGACTTCGGGTTGGCGTACGACGGAAAGCAGATGGATGAGGCCGACGGTCATCGCACGCTGGCCGACTACGGCATCCGCGACCCCGCTACGGAGATGCAGATCTTAGTGAGCGGGCTCAGGGGGAACACCTGGACGCTGTGGGTGGAGCCGTCGGACACGGTGGAGAGCGTCAAGCTACAGCTCCAGGAGAAGGACGGGCTGCCGCCGTGCCAGCAGCGGCTGATCTTCGAGGGGAGGCAGCTCGACGACGGCGACACGGTGGCCTCCTGCGGCATCCGCAAGCACTCGTACCTGAACCTCTGCGGCCGCCTCGCCAGCTGCGACTGCATCCGCACGCACATGGAGGCGCAGAAACTGATCCAAGAGCATCATCAAACCCTAACGACTCGACCTGCTGCTACGGATGAGATGCAGATCTTCGTGAGAGTGCTCGGGGGGAAGAAGGCGACGGCGCTGAAGGTGCAGCCGTCGGACACGGTGGGAAGCGTGAAGGTGAAGCTGTACTACAGGAAGAAGAAGAAGACCATGCCGTGCAAGCAACGGCTGGTTTTCTCCGGTATGGAGCTTGCGGACGACCGCACGCTGGCCTCCTACGGCATCGAGGAGGAGTCGACGTTGTACCTTTGCGTACGTCTCGAAAGTTGTATCTGTAGCTGCAGATATCTCAAGTCATGGATACAAAATTAAAGGCACCAGATAGCTCACCCATCAATCACGCAGTAATTGCAATGGTAAAGTAAGGTATTCTTTATAAAACATGTACATCTCAGCAATAGACTAGATTAACAGTAAACCACCTGATCAATAGTATGTCTACATGGGTATCTATAGCTCTCTAATCCATTGCCTCGTTTTTCTCTATAGACTATCTTCAGTTTAGTAGATAGCTTTACTCTCTCTCTTTATTTAATCTCTTCTAAGTAGAAAAATATACCGACATGAATCTCTCATAGAGAGCCATAGATAACTATTGTGGGTGCTCTTAGTTAGCGCTTAATTTCTTTCATTGTTCGAGTCGATCAATTAATTAGTTGCTCGTTATTTCTGGTATTATGGTTCCGGCCGTGTCCTGATCTTGTACTGGCCTTGAATTCTGGTGATGTTTTGCTTGTTTAGTAGTAGTAGTACTCTGCAGAAATTCTTCCAAAGAACAGTGTGTAATCAGAGTGTTCTATGTCTTACCACTTACCATATGTTGTTTAAATGTTTATTAGTCGATGCCAATAATAATCATCTAGATAATCGAAGACGATGTATCGTGGCGAAGGGCAGGAACCCAAGACCTCGCGGGGTTGCAACCTTTGGGAGAGTGATTTTTCTGGAGCTTTCTTTTGCCGACATTGGCTCTATTTGATCATGTCCTATACATATTTTTTCTGAGGCCCAACCATTAGCTCTACTCTATCAATATGGCTGTGTTCTACTGGTGGGGAAATGTCTTTTACTCCCGGTTGGTAACCAACCAGTACTAAGAATCCAAGACTAAAGATCGCTATCTTTAGTCCCGGTTCAAATACCTGGGATTAAAGATCCTCGGTTAGTAACACCAACCGGGAGTAAAGAGGAAAATCTTTGGTCCCGGTTGGTGAGGCTAGCGCCACGTCTCTGGTTCCTATCCTTTTTTTTTTTCATTATTCTTTGCATATTGATTTCACACCAATCTCACCAAAATCATAAAATCATCACACATTTCAAATCTCCTCTCTCCAGGCGCAACGACCAATGGCGGCAGGGAGAAGGATGGTGACCGGCGGGGAGAAGGGGCGGCGGATGGAGGAGATCCAGCTGGCGCTAGAGGCCACCGTGCGCCCGATCCGTGCGAATGTCTTCCGAGCCCACGCACGTATGGCGCTGGCGGCTGATTCAGTCCACCGGTGGCAACGACGACACTAGCAGCTCGTGTTCCATCTCGATCGAAACTTGATGACAGATTCAGACACAAAACATGTTGATTACACGATGGTTGCCGCTTTGTAACACGAACTAGGTGAACAGATGCTGAATTCAGAATATCCAAAGAACATGACAAGATTTTCGGCATTGCCAACTCATGATATGGTATTAATCACCTGGAATAAACTCATATATTCAGTGCATCCTATTCAGACGTTTTTATTCAACTATTCCTTTGAGTTCAAATTTCGCATCGGCCAAGAACAGGCACCAACTCTGAATCTCTAATACTCAAACGCATTCATCGAGATTCGAGACAACTGAATAATAAGCTAATTCGATTGAGATTTGCATCCATGGCTTGCCATTTCATCAATACCCATTCATCAATCTGAACGAGCTACCTGGACAGTAGCTGAAGCAGTGAGCCGGCCTGGTCCGGCAGCCATGGAAATCGTTGCTGCTGGCCGCCGGCGCTGTGGACACCGGCGGCCCGTACTCGCCACCGGCATCTTCGCCGGGAGGCTCGGCAGCGGCGCCACGAACCGCAGCACGCTGACGGCCTCAGGCCGCGGTCAGCGCGCGCTCCATGTCTGCGCCGTCGAACTCGCCGTTCAGCCGCGTGTCGGCCGCGTCGAGGATGTCGCCCCCGCCACCGCGCGCCGCCCGTGCGTGTCCCAGACCCACTGCACGAGGTGGATCGCGTCCTCGCCGCCGTTCATGACCACCACCGCTGGACGCCGGCCGCAGGAGACCTTGTACAGGAAGACGCCGAAGCTGTCATGATGCTCCTGCCCGCCGCCTAACACTTCCACCGCCGGCGACCAATCCCCCAGCGGCGGCGTGCTGCTGGAAGAAGGGAGGAGAGAGAGGGGATAGAGAGAGGAGGGAGGAGTGAGGATGACGTGTGGGGCCACACGGACCCTCTATTATTTTTGTTTCGTGTGTAGCTAACATGTGGGTCCTACGGTTTTTATTATTTTTCTCGGATCGAATTTCCACGTAAGCGACACATCAATACCACGTGGAACGAACACCTAGTTAAAGGATCCCACGTAGACGCCACGTCAACCAAAACTGGGCACAATATTGCCGAGAGACCCCATATTTGTACTGATTTTGTAAGCTAGGGGATGTGTTGTACCCGGTTTTGCATTTCAAAGATAAATTTCGGACTCGACGATAAATTGAGGGAACTAAAGTGAACTTCTCCCTTCCCCTTTATCTATAACTAAACGATTACGATAACAACTATCGACATCATATTAAGTAACCTTGGTTTTAGTATTAGCATTCAAATACAAGTAAACAAATCATGCAAGAATTAAACCATATATAACAAGTAAATAAACCATACTAGTATTAAACCATACATGAACGTTCAAAGTAAGTAAACTATCACGCTAAGCATATAGGTATTTTTTACCCATAGGTAAGGGGTACGAGTGGCTAAAGAACTAATACCCATCTATCCAACATGTAAGGATTTTTTTTCTGTTGATAAATCCATAGATACAAGAATTAGATCATATATGACTCCTAATAAAATAAAAACCTATAGAGTCTCTGGTTATGGATCTCTGTTGCCATCTCTACCTGGAGGGTAGCAGAGGGTCTCTGTTATGGATCCCTGTTGCCATCTCTACCTGGAGGGTTGCAGCCTTCGTAGCATCGTGTGCCCGAGCTACCGTTGGGACGAGGAGCAGGATATCCCACGACGGGAGGTCTCCCTGCATCAAATTATACAATTAAATTCCTCAGTCTATTCTCTCTATTCTCTAATAATAGAGATTATACTATATCCGTCTCAGAATAAATTATATTTTAGACATCAATTTAAGATATTCTAAATTTATTTTATAACTAAGGTAGTAGACATTAATTATAAATTTACAATAGTAAAAAAAACTTATTAACTCGTTTACCTGAAGTAGTATGCAGGGCGCAGATGAGCGCGATTACCATCAGGAGCACCTTCCAAAGGGACATGATCTCGACTTTCTTCTCACTCTTTTTTTCCTCCCTCACTGAAACTGCACCTCGCTTTGTTGCTTTGGTCTAGTTCTTGAGGTTCAGAATTTATAGCACCTGCAGGACAGGCAGGGGAGTACAATTCACTGTCATTGACTAGGGGTCAACGGCCCTTCTTCAACAACCAATTTGGCACTAGCAAGCCACAGGCCCACAGTCCACATATATGTTCACATGAAGCAACCACCCATGGCCAAGGATAGTGGATGTAACTGTAAGGGTGTTCTTTCGAATGGAATACAACTTGTCAGCTTTAGGGTACCTGCAGTTCTAGTTCGATTAGTATGGTCGAACAAAATTTTGATTTGTTGGCTACAATATGTGACATGGATCGTTGGACCCTTATAGAAAAAGAATCTCTAATCACATGCGTACATCCCTATCTTGTGCAGCCAACCAACAGCTGCAAACCATCTTTTTAACGCTAAGTTCGACTCTTCTTTTGTGGTCGATATTTTACTTTAACATATAACAATTGGTTGCTGCAGTGTGTTGTAGTCGATTTTTTCAAGCATGGTTCGATTTTACCCGTACAATTTGTGGGGATTGGAACCCCTCCCCCGGCCCACAACACGCAAAATAGAGCGAAGATTTAGCGCATGACTAATTAAGTATTAGCTTAAAAAAACTTAAGAAATATGTGTTAATATGATTTTTAAGGCATATATATATATGTATATATATGTATATATATATGTATATATATAAATATATATATATATGTATATATATATGTGTGTGTATAGTAAAATTATATATATATACACACACACACACAATATATATATATATATATATATATATATATATATATATATATATGTGTGTGTGTGTGTGTGTGTGTGTGTGTGTGTGTGTGTGTGTGTGTGTGTGTGTGTGTGTGTGTGTGTGAGATACCATGTTTATTAGTTTGGGAAACATGCGTCAAAAAACAAACACATGATATGTTGCATGGTAGAGCCTCTTAGGCTGCGTTCGCGAGGAGGGGTTAGTTCTCGGCACGTAAAACGAAACACTTATTATTGCATGATTAATTAAGTATTAAATATTTTTTAAAAAAATAGATTAATATGATTTTTTTAAAAAACAACTTTAGTATATAATTATTTTTTTTAAAAAAAAACATACCATTTAGCAGTTTGAAAAACGTGTGCACAAAAAACGACATGGGAGAGTTGGAAAAACTAGGGAAAGAGCACACCCTAGTCGACTTGCCAGCTATGTAGAGACTAACCTCGCATAACAATTGAGACAACGAAGGTTCTAGCTATTAATACTTCAAAATAATATTTATTACCTTTTTTTTTTCATTTTCCTTACCCTTATGTATAGAAAATATTCCTTTTGTAAATGCAAATAGTTAATTTTAAGGCGTTGTGAAGCTTTACATTTGATTTTTTTCTTTCCTCTATTTTAGCAAATCAGCTGTCTAATTGACAATCTAAAAAGCCTAGCTATATTTATTGCTTGTTGCTGTACATGCCAAGTTGGAGCCAGGATGGGACCTGCACGAATTGTGGGTATTTCCATTGGTCCATCCTGGAGGCTTGACCGATTTCACTACATCCGATTCATCCTTCTCAAGCCGGCAGGTTCGTTGGCTGATCACTGGTCCAAGTGTCAACATTCACTTATACTAATACATAATAAATAGTAAAAGCATTTAGTAAGAAAAAAAAACACCGGCTTGTTGGCTTATCGTTGGTCCAGTGTCACCATTCACTTGATAGATACTCTATCCGTCTTAAAATATAATGCTCTGTTTAAATTCATAGTATTAGGATATACCATATCTTGATGGTGTAATTAAATAGCAAAAGCATCTTAAAGATAAAAAAAACTAGACGAGCGGCTGGGCGTGGGTGAGCTCCAGTCTTATGTCCTCCCCGTAAAAGAAAAATATAGAAGAAGGAGCCCACATGCCCCACACTTACGTTGGTTAACTACTCATCACGTAGAACTTATGTATGAATGAGCATAGTAATTCTATCCTACATTCTCAGCAAAATTATTAGAACAGCAATACAGCTTGTCCACACTTATCCTTATAAAACACACACAAGCATCTCCGAAAAATTAAGTAGTATATTTTAAGATTAATTAGATAATCACAAGCATCTCACTCTCAACGTATATTTCATTTATTTACCACTTAAAATATAACCAATCGTAAATGCGAATACACATATAAAATCTACAACTTAAACCTGAGTACTTAGGTTCTATCATAAGGAACGCTGTCAACATATATGTTGCCTTTTGCTAGAAAAATATTACTCCATTATTCCCAAATTGATAAAAACTAAAAATTTTCAAATTATAACCGCATTGACACAGGTTTTAGTCTCATTTGGGCCACACAGGGGCTTGATTGAACCGCCATGCTGGCTTAGAGCTGTGACGGCCGGCCGCCGTCTCGAGCGCCACACGGATCGATCGAACACCGTGGCACTCACGGACGATAGAGAAAAGCTATGCAGAGCGTCAACATGGCAAAGTAATCTAAGGGCGAAGTAGAAGAATGCCTCTGATCTTGGTATGGAAGATATCTTGTTCTTTTCGAAAAGAGGGTGCTGGAGTAGAATTTCATGGTCCCATTGTTTTATGCACCACAAAATTACGGTTTCGATAATTGCACTCAATAATTCAGATGTGGCTAGGCTAATGTTAGTTATTTCAGCACTGTCTTGGTTACATTGACCATGTGATCTGACTGACTACATGTTGTTAGCTTTGGAAGGCCGTCAGAGCTAGACCCGAGGAGGGTCGGAATTCTGATCTCCGATGACATGGCAATTGTTCTCCCTTTGCGGCCTTGTTCGGTTAATCCGGAGGGATTGGAGGGGATTTATTCCACACTTATTGTGGTGTGAAATTATTCCCCCTCAATCTCCTCCAATCCTCTTCAATCCTCTCTAAACCGAACAAAGACTACAGCTTTCTTTCCTCATAGTGGACTCCGGATTCCATGCCATCGCTGCCGCGCGCACCGACGTCTGACCAAGGTCCGGCCGCCATCAGCGGCGAAGAGATGCTCGCCGCGCGCACATGCCTTTCTTACCAACGGGTGGCCTTACTGTTGGTTCATCTGGCATCTCGATCAGGCGCCGTACGTTCGTTCGTTCATGCGGCACAAGCATTATTACGGCGATTACTGACGAATTGCCACAAGTCCGGCGCGCGGCATGTCAGAGATGCAGTGTAAAGTGGTTCGAGATGTCACATGTGTTCGATCGACGAGTCCGCCGTGGCTCTCTCTACTCGATCGGTTCACTGTTCAATCTGCGCAAACGCAAGCGTGATCAAATGGCCGTCAGAGATCCCAAAGGAGTTCGGAGTTTAAAACTCCGACCCCTCATTGACATCATGTTATGGTATATTTCAGTTAGGGCTCTGCTGAGATCAGCTACCATGCAAATCCAAGAAACACTGCAACGTGATCAGTAAGGCAGTAACCTCCTTAATTTTGGAGGTTTGGAGTCGTTCATGGCCGCACATATTATATATATTGTTTGACGCAACACAAAACATTCCAGCAATTGTACTCAAGAATTCATCACCGCCTTGGTTAGATTAATTATGTTACCTGACTGCGGGTTTTTGTTATACGCATGCAGTGGAACAAGCAAACCTTGCATGGCTTAACATGTTTTCTTGTTTTGAAAACATGCACATGACATGATACTGAATCAGGTTATGCTACAGAAGGTTTTGATTGTTGGGTTCTTGTTTATCTGTTTGTTGGCATTCATCTCCCAGACATCACAGGAGAACTTCGAAAATTCAGCATAACATTCTGCTTCAAATTTTGGCAAATTTTACGATTAACTACTAACTACAGACTACAGTAACCAGCAAGGCTAGAGCTGCTGTATGCTGGAGTGCTGGTATATCGCCAGAGACATGTTAGACAGGGTTCGGAGAATTAAACTCCGACCACGCCCACGCGATGGCCCACATGTTACCTAGTAGCAAGGCCACGTGGCCTCCTCTTTTTGTGGGCCGTCCGGTCCATTTAGTGCGGCCCATTTTCAGTGGGAGCTTGACCTTTCATGCGTGCGTCAGAAAATGGAATAAGTTCAATTTTTCTCCCTTAACTAGTGACAGAATGTTATCTGTATCCTTCAAACGCAATACCGGATATCTCGACCCCTAACTATTAAAACCGGTGCAATTTAACTCCCTCGGTGGTTTTGGAGGGTGGTTTCACTAACATGGCGTCTACGAGACAATATTGACTAGTCTATGGCGTTGACGTGACGCTTAGGTGGCATTAGAGTTATATGTGGGACCCATTTGTCATTCGAAAAAAAATATGGGGCCCACTAATGTGTGGGCCCCACATGTCATCCTCTCTCTTCTTCCTCCCTCTCTTTCCCTTCTTTACAGTGATGGCGATGGGCGGGGGCTAGAGTGGTGGCGGCGCTTCGGGCTGGAGTCGGCGCGGATGGAGGCTGAGGAGGAGGAGGCAGCAGTAGAGGAGATGGCGGGCGGTCGAGGGCCGGAGTGATGGCAGGTCGGTGGAGAGCCCGGCGGTCGACGGTGGCTGGCGGGGAGAGAGCTAGTGGCGGAGGCCGCCCCCATCTTCCTCTCTCCTCCTTGCCGGGCTCCGCACGTGCCTAGCCGGATCGGTGGAGCGGAAGACGCGGTCGGGTCCGTACCACGGGCTGCCAGAGGTGGATGGCTTGCGCTTCGCGGCGGACTTACGGATAGTGATGCGGACGCCGCGTGACCATCACTGCGAAGGAGAGCGCCATGGCGAGCGAGTGAGCGACTAAGTCGCTCCACAGCTCCGGGGTCTACGCCAGCGGCTGCGGTGGTGGGTGGCCATGGCAAGTTGTTAGGGCCTCGCCTGCCCACCGCGATCGTCGCTCCATCGCCCTCATGCCCGCCGCCGTGCGGCCCTCATCGCCGTCGAGCCGCTACCCTCGTCGCTGCCAGATGAAGGTGAATAGAAAGAGGAGACAGGGAGATAAGGAAGAGGGAAAGAGAAGGAAGAAGATATGGAGAAAGATGATGACCTACATGTCAGTGGGTCCCATAATATTGT